GATTTCGGTAATCTATTTACCGCTACATGCCCTTAAATGTTGAGACGGTGATAGTCTCTTTCTGGGTTTTAGTTGGTGCTGCTTGAATTGATGGGATCGGTCAACCATCTAACGACAGATGTATATTTCTAAATTATTTGAAGTGTTGTTGTTATGACCAGTGTCTAACATGTATTATTTAAAGATTCAATAACTTGATGTAAATTTGTATTTGTTCAAGCTTGTCACATCAGTGACATCCTAATGACATGCACAATAGCTCTTTTGCCTAAATTTTAAATTTTCTATATTTAATGTGAACACAGAAACTGCTTCTCATATAACCTCAAAAAATAACACGGCTAATAATATTGTATCGTCATTTCCCTGATAAGTCCTGACTGTTTGTATTGTTGAATTTCACAAACTGGGTTGTAAATAAACAAGGGACATTGATTGTGAATTTTTGTGCTTTTGTTTAGGGATCATCTAAACGTGTACATATTATATAAAAAATCGATTAAACCATCTTAAAATAGCACAGAACCCAGATGATAAAATCTCTTTGCATCTTTTTCTGCTCATACGGAAGCTCCGTACATACTGTGCAGTTCATTTAAACGTGCAAAATATTGAACGCGAATTTCGTCCACTTAGTCTTGAAATAAAAAAAACCGTATTGCTTGGTAGAGATATGTCTAATCCAAATAACTGTTTATCATTTCTGAATACAATATTTGACTTAGCGTGTGAATGTAAAATTCATGAATTCAAGATTATTGGTGTTCAGCTGTATTATACACAAAATATCTATTATTCTTCATTAGAATAGCGTACTTGATCACTAAATGAGCAAAAAATATTCGGTACTGAATTCCCGCATAACAGTTAAAAATACGTTTTTTATCACTCAGAGGGTTGATCATAGTGTGCTCTGAATAGAATTTAAACTATAAGGTAAAAAATGCCTACTGAAAATCCTTCGAGGTTTCTTAAGCGAAAGACAACATACTATCATGCACTCTGTACTATCCGATTATCTTCTGATGACATACGGAGTGCGTAGATTTCAATTCCTAGACTTTTACTTTCTTTATTGTTTGATGACCACCTATCTGGTGCCTTCTATTCTCAAATTCTCTTATACGCAGATGACCTTGGGGCTTATTTATAAAACATTAGATACTTTTATGGCATAGTACGCAACACCATTCGGATGTGAGAAATCAGGCAGCAGAAAGCTAAAAAGATCTGTTTGAAGAGAATAGAATGAGAAACAGAAATTAATTATGAACTTGAAAAATCTGAAGATGCCGCAAGTATTTGGAATTTGAGAACGTCTTTACACATAACACCTTTGCAATCTCAGCATCTCAACTAATTCAAATCAGAAGTCAGGAATGAATGAGTTCGAAGATATATTCAGGAGACTATCGGTATGTTGAAGGAAAGTTCAGTCTGAACTGGTTGATAGTTGAAAGGGACTCATACCACGGCACATCCACTCATGATCTGGTGCGAATGCATAGCCGAGCACCTTCAGCTAGGTGGGTACATCAAAACAAATGCGGTCAGCATCAGATGTCGAAGATTCACGGAACTATTGACTGCGAGGACATTTTACTGTTTCAGACCACACAGAATGCGAAAAACAATTGATAAAACTTGAAAACGAAATATTTAAAGTATGGTCATCATATTTTACGAAGACACTCTGCAATTCTGCATTAATCAGTAAATTGGTATTCAAACCCAAGTCTTCATTCACAACACCCTAACCCCAGGAATATTTATTAATATTTTCAGTATTTACTTGAAACTCTGTCGTGGAAAATTGTTTTCCATATTTGACGGTCACAGCTTTTTTGTAGAATGCTTCGTTATGTAGTTGATTACTTCCAGTATCATAGGTGCAACGTTTCGTTTGCTACGATTATTGACTAATTGACTAATTGGCTTTATTTTCAAAAGGAATGCAACAAGATTTGCATCTTTCCATAATGAAGAACTAAATCTTATTACTGAGGTGGAAAATCCAAAGAATGAACAGATCTTCGAATGTAGGTTGTTGTTGTTTTGATTCAATCAAACTATTTGTATTGTGGAGATAGACCTGGCAAGCTTATTTTGTAAATAGTTTTTAATATTATTTGTGTTTATTTTGTCAATCTTTCACTGTATGCATATTTATCATTAAATGACTTAACCTGTTGTTTTAGTGAATGACCTTCAGCACACTTTCCGTTGTGTTGCTGACATAGCGTGATATACTGTTGCTTGCTAACAAATACGTTGCTATACACACATACCTTGTTCTACCTTCGTCTGTGATTGAGCTAACTGCATTCTAAATCAAATATTGGCGAGATTCTAATTTAGGGACGAGCCAATCAGAAGCGTTTGAGCAATTTCAATCATTAGCCAATCAGAAGACAGTATAAAGTGAAAATATAAGAAAGTAATGAATTACAGTGGATATTCTTCTTTTATATGATTTGAAAACTTGTTAAGGTTTGATAAAGGTTCAGAGGTTCTGAATTCATAATGCATATGGTATAGAAACTCGTCCATAGGGTTAGGGTTGTAGCCTAGGGTTAGGGTTTAGGGTTAGGGGTAGGATTATAGCCTTTCAATCAACACCTCTTCTCTAAAATCCGTTGTAAACCGATCGTATGTTAGCACCCCGACTCTAACCTAACCCTAATTTTAGCCCTAACCCTAACTTTAACACAAACCCTAACTTAACCCTAACCCTATGGACGAGTTTCTATACCATATGCATTATGAATTCAGAACCTCTGAACCTTTATCAAACCTTAACAAGTTTTCAAATCATATAAAAGAAGAATATCCACTGTAATTCATTACTTTCTTATAATATATTTTCACTTTATACTGCCTTCTGATTGGCTAATAATCATCAAGGTCATTTAAGATTCATTCAAAGGTCGTCCCTAAATTAGAGTCTCGCCCAAATATTTTCTGCAGTTATAGACTGTGAGCCAGAATATATCATACCAAACATTGGTTTGCATTACTGGAGAGTCCAACAACTTGAGCGGATTACTGAACATTTATAATTGTGGATTTTTACTACCAGACCCAATCTGAACACGCATCAACTTAGTGAATTTAAGTAAAGTCCCAATTTTTGTGTTGTATTTGTAACAATTAACATTATTATTTACTCCTAATAACTTGGTTAATACTTTTTCATGTTCATATTTGTCTGGTCCACCACAATTATTTGATGAGCCCGACGTGATGCATTCGTGTTCTGTCAGTATGTCGTTGAAAACGTTGTTCGCAGGCTTCATTATTCGTACACCATGGATTTCATAGTCGTTGGAAAATGTGTACCATCTACTTGTAAACGTGTATTTGCATCGATTAATCTCTTCTTAGTAATATCTACTAACAAGTTGTACGCACTGAGGAAATCGGCTCCGAGGACGGGTCGTTTGACATGAGCAACTATGAAAACCCATGTAAATCGTCCGCGGAGTCCGAGGTCTAATATAAGTGATTGCTCTCCGTAAGTTTTGATAACTGATTCATTAGCCGCTATTAGGGACAGTTTAGAGCTTGTTGTCTGTTGTCTGTTGTGGTGGGATGATGCTGATTTCTGCCCCAGTGTCGACTAAAAAGTCCAAGCCAGAAATACGATCCCTGACGTGAAAGAGGCAGCTAACGTGTTGGCCAGTAACAGCCGCCGCCATTACAGTCTGGCCGCTTCGTTTCGCTTCGTTTGTTTGTCTTGAAGTTACACGGTTTAGTGCAACGGCGTGCTTTCTCACCATAATTCGCATGATACCAGCAAATTTCGGCTGCCAGTTTGGGTAACCTAAGACGATGTCTCGATACTGATCTTTTTCTGGACGTAGATCTGGCAGGTCGAGAATGAATGGTGGCAATAGTCGCCTGTAGCGATGCTAACTGCTGTGTTAACTGTGTTATTTGTTGCTGGATGTTGAGTGCGTCGCTCATGTCTTCTCTACTTGAGGATTGTATCGCGTTAACGCCGCGACCATCGGGATATATTTCTATCATCTTATCGGCCATGTCTGCTAAGTCATCAAGATTGACAGAGGCTTCTGAAATACTGAGGATTTGTCTGACGTTATGTGGTAACCTTTGTAACCACATCTACTTGAGTAATGCTTCGTCTAACTTGTATGAGCTTGCTAGCTGTCTCATATGTCCAAGCAACTGTGAAGGTCTTTTGTCCCCTATCTTGCATGCGGTGAGCAGTAGCTGTAAGCGTTTTTCGTCAGATTGCGATATACGGTAGATTACTGCGGCTTTTATTTTGTCATAGGTGTCCGTTTCTGGTACACTATCAATCAGATCTCCGACTTATGTTGCCCCTTCTATGGGTAATGCTCCAACGAAGTGGGCATATTTTGCCGCTTGCGAGCGTATACCTCTCGTCAGAAATAATGCCTCAACCTGTGCAAACCAGATTCTGGGATTATTAACACCGTACGTTGGTAATCTCAACTCTGAATTAGTGTTGATCGAGCTTAAAGCATTATCTTCTGGTTGTGAATAGTTTAGGGGTTTGGTCGGTGGACTATGTATATCAATGAGTTTACCGGGAGAGTTCATAGTGGGAAAAAAATGAACTAGCGTGCCAAGTAATCATATATGTATAACAGTAAACGTCTACAATGAATTCGAGGCTCACCAAATAATTGTGGTGGACCAGACAAATATGAAAATGAAAAAGTACAAACCAAGTTATTAAGTATAATAATACTGTCAACTGTTACAAATACAACAGAAAAATTGGAACTTTACTCAATTTCACCACAGTATCTAATATCTGGATTGACCCAACTGGATGCTCTTAGGGAGTCGAAACTGTTTCTCAGCATTAAGAATTTTGTGAAAAGATATTTCACTTATAATCTCTGTCAACTAAGATTTTAAAATTTTTTCTTGTTAGAGTAACTTATTTGTTATTGTGTATGAAGGTCAGTTGACTGATGTAAGCTGTGCGATCTTCAACAACCTCATTCATGGACTTTGTTGTGATTCATGGGTTCATCCTGCATTTAGTACGAAGCGATCAAAAGTACTGTGTTTCAAAAAGATGGGCATATATTAAGCACGACAGTCTTTTTATCTTTCCGAGTAAATCCAGAACGTTCTTTTATATTTGTAGATCATCTAAACCGTAAGAACTGCCTTAAAATTTTTCTCAATCGTTGTGGTGTTTCTGTATCATATCAAGAAGATGATACGCCCTGGATAACAGTAAGGTGGTGTTTTCCATGAATTGTTTCAGATCACAGAGTACTCTGGAGCTACATATTATATCAGACCAGAAACAGAGAAGACTTTTCAAAACTGGCTAACTGCTATTTACAAAGCATCTAAAAAGTATTTTTTTCTCAACATCTTACCAGTTGTGAAATTTAAGTTGCAAGTCACAGTCAGTGGGGCTTAATATGGAGTGCCGACCACATTTCACAGATCAACACTTGTCCAACTCAATGGAACAGAAAATCGTGACTTCGAAAGTTAGTTTATTATTACTCTGAAGACGAATGTACTAAAGATTATATCAAACTTTTGGTTTGGATAGTTTATTTCCTGCAATGGAACTATGTTACTCCTTGAAGTTTAAATCCGCTCAGTTATGTGCAATATGTTGTCCAAGCTGCTATGTGAAATAATATTAAGTGGTGATTCCAAAAAGACTCACTTCTTGAATAACCATTAACGTGAAGATTTTGGTGAATGCGATTGGTTTGCTAGATAGTTGCTGTAAATTTCAGGCAAAATGCTATGACAAAATTTTGCACATAATGATGAGATTGTCTGATCTTATTACTTTCTTTTATATCTATACAAAAACTCTAATTAGCAGTAGAATATAACATATTCGTTGACAAGCCTGTTCTATATAATATAACTCAACCTTTGATCGATTTTTGAATAAAATAAATAATTCTAAGTAGACGAACTTCGTATTTAACTGATTCACTAGGTATTAGCGTATAAACCAAACTGTGAGTGTCAGGGCTAATGTCGCCCTGTTGTCCAAACTGAAGCAGGAAGGGCGGGGTTCGGTCCTGAGACTTAGTGGCTGAAAGTCGTCCACCACTTAGTCACCTCCCCATTGCAGATGAACTATTGACTGTCGTTGACAATCTCATAGTTTTAGTTTTAACTCTGGCTTCAACAGACATTTCACTTTATTCAGCAGAGATATATGACTTGTAAATTTCTGCGACTCAGAGAAGTGTTTGTATTAGTTCTGAAGAATTTTCGGATGGATAGATAGAAGGGAACATTTTATTACAAAACAGTATATATTGAATTAAATCTACAGTTAATATCTGTGTTATATCTATTATCTTTATAGTCGACGACCAAGAATAAACGAATTAAGTAGAAATGGAATATATATATTAGCAATTGAATTGACTACCGTACACATTAGTAACAAGAGTAGTGTAATAGGACTATGTGGACACTGCTGATCTAAAATAAATGTAGCATTGGGTCACACCAAAATTAGAAAATTTTGTAGTGGAATTAACTTTTTTTCGACACTGGCACTTAGAATCACCAACATTTATACTGTGCTGAAGAGAATCCAGGACTGAATTAGATGACTGGTCTAATCGGTATTGTATTCAAATGAGTTCAAACTGTCTTAAGTGTCAATTAGCCAGCTTGCCTCGAGTATTTATGCATCAATATAATAATGGAATATTACTAATAGATAAATAGACAGACAGACAAACAAACAAACTAATGAATATTGGGAAGGTCCACACATAAAGCATCCAAATTTATCACACAACTGAGCATAAGTTGAAAAATCGAATTGTACTGATGTACTTGACATCCACATGCTGAGTTAGACATTGTATTCCAAAATGAGTAAACGATTACGTTCATTTAACCTGTTCGCATAGAATACCATACTGTGCTCAAAATTGATACATGATGACAAGGTATGCCAACTAACGTGGTCTTTTGTGGTTAGTTTTGAGTAATTCTCAAATTAATATACTGCATCTGTGACATTCAGTTCCAAATTATTTTGAAACCAGTAATTTTGATCACCAAGGTCAATTTTTGCTTCTATTATACCCATATCTATGAAGTGTGAATGGTCCGAGTTCTTAATTGCTTTTCACTACCTTCACAAGACTCAAAATCACTGATCAGTCGTATAGATGTTCATACATGTGAAAATTCGTAATTTCTGATAAGTGAGTCACACGTATTAGGAAATACATCTCGTTGATTAGCACACTATTGCTATTATGTAATATCTACTGTCTTACAATTACTCATATTAATAAAGCTACCTTACGTACTTACACCTGTTACTCCTTATGGGGCTGCATAAGCCGCCCACCAGCATCCTCCATCGAACTCTGTCCTGGACAATCCTTTACAGTTGCTATTCATTCTTTTGATATCTGCCTTCAATTATCGACATAGTGTGTTCTTTTACCTTCCTCTTTTCCGTCTCCCTTCACGACTTCAAGTTAGGGCTTGCATCGTGATGCAGTCTGATGATTCCCGTAATGTATGTCCTATCCACTTCCAACGTCTTTTCCTAGTTTCCCCATCAGATGGAATATAGTTTGTTCTTTTCCACAGTAGGCTCTTACTTATGGTATCCGACCAACAGACATTGAGTATCTTGTGTAGACAATTGTTCGTAAATACCTGTGCTTTTCCGGTGATCGTTGTGGTAGTTCTCTAAGTTTCAGCTCCATATAATAGAACTGCCTTGATGTTCGTATTAAAGTTTTTGACTTTGATATTGGTTGATAGTTGTTTTGAGTTCCATATGTTCTTCAACTGTAGGAATGCTGTCATTGCTTTTCCAATCTTCTCCTTTACTTCTGCATCAGATACTCCTTGTTTATCGATGATGCTTCCCAGTTATGTGAAGGATTCCATCTCTTCCCGAGTTTCTCCATCAAGTGTGACTGGGCTAATGTTCTCTATGTTGCATTTGAGGATGTTGCTTTTTCCCTTGTGTATGTTCAAGTCTACTGATGCAGAGGCTTCTGCTACACTGGTTGTCTTGACCTGCATTTGTTAGTGGGTATGGGTTAGACGAACTAGGTAATCTGTGAAGTCCAAATCGTCTAGCTGAACCCAAGCTGTCCAAATAAAACTACGTATTGGGAAGTAAAAGACTTCTGAGGTAAGTTAGGTTTTGGATCAAAAGCTTCCTGCTAAAGCATAATATGGTTAAAAGTCGTTCACTAGTGTTTTTGTCTAAACATATATTTTATTGGGCACAAATAACAACTCAAATTGTTGTCGTTAGCCTTTTGATTTATAACGTTTTCTTGATTTGTGAAAGTTGACTTCGACACAACATATCACCAATCTACTCAGATTATCATCTAACTTCGAACTATACGGAAAATGCTATCCTTTACTCTGAAATGGTGTGAAAACCATGACGATTAGTTTAATTATGAACAAACGGCTATGAAATCTTTTAACAACGTTGGCCTAGTCAACTAGCGCTACTTATCTGGATCAATAGGATTCAATCTTTAATTTGTACCATTGGTGTATTTTATTCTAAAGACCGTGTATTTCATTATGCTAATCTCATGAAGATACACTAAGCATGTCGTGTGTACTGATGTGAATGTAAGACCTTTAAAATAAATATACTACAATAATATACACACGGTATTAGTTGGGTCTCACTTAAAATGAATAGCCTGTAGATAAACAGACTAACCTGTACTTATATATATAATATATACATATATATATATATATATATATATATATATATATATATATATATCAGTAATTGAAGTGAATATGAATAAATAATTAACTATGAACTTATTCAATTCAGAACCATATGTAAATTTTGATTTTCACTGATGGATAATATTTACTATTTTTGTTTAAAAACAGAGATTAAATGAAAAAAGAAGTCTGGATCATTTAGGTAAGTTATTGTCATTTTTTGTTAGTAAGATAATCTTGAGATGAGTAAATCGTTAAAAGGCTCAATTTCGGTCACTTCAGGCTACCTTATTGAGTACTTATCATTTCAATTGTCCTTGTGGACCATATTATATAATCTACATCAATCATCTACTTTCCAAAGACATATCTAAGCATTATCCTGCATGGATGGATGTAAGTCAATCAAGAATTCCGGTGCTTGCCAGTGCTTTAATTTTGAATGTATGACTTACTTAGATCAGTCAGTGATGTAGATCGCTCCAAATAAACAACAACCATAACATTCAATAAAATACTGGGTATATTGTCTTTTTTTAAATTTAGGCCCTGAATATTCCAACATTTATCAATCTGATAACAATGAACTCAATGCTCAACCATCACTGAATTCAGCAGTTCAACCTATCAACAGTAATTATTTGAATAGAGATTTGGAAACGATTCATTCAAGGCAGAAAAATGTTAAATATGTTAGTGAAAATACATTGAGAAGTAAAAATGTGCAAGTTGAATATAAACCGAATGAAGATAAACCACCACCTAGACCACCAAGAAATCCACATGTGTTACACACTGTTAAAGAACATGCAAATATGCGTGATGATGAGATTGTTGTAAGTCATCGCTTGTGTAAATTTATAGACTTTGTTCTAATTTTTCTGAAATTGGAGGTGATTAACCACCAGTCTTTCATTCAAATTTAGTTAGTCGTGTAGACAGTAAAGACATTCATGTTTTCAATTGGCAGGTTATAAATTCAAATCCCACTTTATTCTTTTTAGATTTGAATAATCAAATTAGCCTTCAAACGAGAGTAAACTATGGCTCAAAGCTGAGTACATACATATATCCGTGGTAAAAGAATTACTTTCATTTTTGTGGATAGTATCTATCAAAAGTTGATCACACTTGAGTTATCGCTGAAAACCAGAAGACACTGGACATCTGTTTCTTTCTAGTATGAGAACCTTTAGCAATGCATACCCACGACCCTACCAGGGATCTAGTGGTGAAGTATTCGTCGTGAGACATAAAATGTTTGCGTACCAAACATTTTGGGCTATTTCACCTAGTGTATGGGTTCTGGATATATATGAGCTCAATTTTTACTGAGGATTTCGTTGCAAGCCCTAACTTAAACCTTTCTTTTTTTGTCTGACATGTTGGGATTTGTTAAAGTGGCATATTCATAAAAGACAGATGTGGATAACTTCAGATGGTTGAATAAATTCATTTTGATGAACTCGTTTGCTAAGGGTTTTTTAGTGGCCTTGTTTCTTTCTGTGTTATGGTATATCCGTCAATTGTTTTGTCAGATTAACTTGTAATCATATGATCGACTGGTTGATCTACCCTTCTTTGATAGATAAGTAAGCAGATTATGTTGATCTTGATATCTATTGATTGTAAGTTAAATTGAATATCATGCTTCAGAAACTCTTTAACATTCATTGAGTTTTGTCAGTTCCCAAGTCAACTATGTGTTTACAGTTGTTTGCTTACATTGTTACAAATAATGACACATTGTTCCTTGTAACTACTTAACATATATTGCGTCCATATGTAAACTAATACGGTATTTACTTTACTCAGTATAGTACTTCTTACAGTTAGTGGGATTTATTTTGTAGATGATTTTGAATTTAAATTCACTTTGTACTGTTTACTTGAATCTTCCATTGATGTTTAGGACTTCACCCCATTACACAAGCAAGTGGCTATCAGAACTCAGTAGCTAAGTGGATAACGCAATAGCGTTTGAAGCGAACGGTACTGGGTTCGAGTCCCAGAGTGAACGTCAACTCTGAGATATAGGTACATCTAGCTGACAGGTCCCAAATAGAACGGGACTCGCGTCCTGGATTTCACTGCTAGCCACTATTCATCTTTGAATTTGAATTCATGTTTCTCTATTGTTATTTTCTTTGGTCCACATAAAATATCGCTAATTGAGAAGCTTAAAAAAAGTCACTTCTATATAAGGTAGGAGTTGGTAAATTTTTTATCCGCTATGTCGATGAAAGCTTCACATCCAACTAGAAGAATACAAAATCATTAAAAACATTTGTATGCGACCTATTTAAATGTTGAGTCTACTTAAGTTTGGACAGGAATTGTATGACCTCCTGGTTTACGTCATAGTCGATATCTAATCTGGCTTATCCCATCGTGAAAATCAAGTGAATCGACTTTTTTTGGTGACTGTACAGCTCAAATAGCATCTTATCAAAACAACAAGAACAAACTAGATAAGTAAAGAGCGAAGCCGCTACTGCATAGGCTTTTTTATAGCGTGCAACTAATTAATCCATGTTGGTTATTCTTGATCTTAAAAAGGCTCGGTAATCTGTTCAAAACTAAGCGGTCTGGCGTCTAAATTAGTAACAGTTCAGTTTAATATATTGTTCAACTAGGGCTCAATGATATTTTACTAGCCCTATACATCCACTTAAACTGAGAATCTTCTTCACTTCAAGGTTAGAGCACATATAGCTAACCAATTTGATTGGAAGTATTATTATTAAGCCGAGTTACGATCATCTCTATACGACCTGATCAAATTTAATGATCAACTAAGGTAAATGTGATAAAAATTAACGTCACTTTATGGTAAGCTCATCCACTGTCAACTATAATGTATCAAATCATGTTAACTCGTTTAACCGATAAGGTACATTACAATTTTAATAGCATTCAGTTAGTATTGATGGAGAAAAAGATAGTATATTGTATACTTTTCAGTAACAGATCTATGTATATGTGTACTGGCATACCTATTAAGTGGTACTATCAAATTGGTGTTTTGACGCAGTTTAGGAATTTTCATTGTAAACAGCTGTTCAGTGACTCGTCTTAGCAACCACAATAATTTACATTGATCAACCGCTAAATAGTAATCGATGTTATGATTATCCGATTTGAAGTGCTGGTCAAAGTCCATCAGCCATGTTGCAGTAATGTGACCGCTAGTTCAAGTGACCTGAAATTGTCTATGCTATTTTTTGACTTTAGGTGGCTGGAGATAGTTGGTAGAAAACTTTCTCCTTTGATCTCATACTAGTTCCCACTGCTGCTCAGAATGGTGTACATGCAATCTCTGTGGAATTCAAAACCACATAACCAAATTTCATAGGGTTAGACGTTACCACTGAACTTCTGTATTTGATTAATAATCGGTACCTGATCGATGAGTTGATAAAAATTTGAAATCCTGGATTTCTCGTCTTACCTGTTCTCAAGATCCAGTTATACGTCTGAGGATTGTTTAAATTAAAACCTTGAAAACTTCGTTAGCTAAACTAGTTCCTCTGAGATTACAACCTATTAATTCTCTTCTTCTTCTTCTTCTTCTATAATCTGATATGATTAAGTATCGATGTATGTTCATGATTATTCCTATCGCTATCCATTTCATTTTCGTTCAAACATCAGTGGTTAGTTTACTTCATAGATTGTATTTATTACAGATCAAACTCAATAAGTATGCGCTTTCGAAGAGTTCCATACTTGAAAGAAATAGCTGTTCGAGGCCATATGGTTTTCCGTGGTGCTCCAATCGAATTCAGTATACAGTGAATATAACATACAAAATGAAACTAATCTTCATAAAACCTTTTAACTGAACTATAATATTCAGCTCATTTTGACTTGAAGATGTTCTTTAAGTTCTAATAAGAAATCATGCTTATTGTAATTCAAACATATTGGTAGTGAAACACTTGTCACCAATGGCATTAGATTATCGTTGTTCAATATCACAAATTGTTTGAAATTGAAGTTGTATCACTAGACGCCGACCTAGTTCATCAGGCGGCCTACTTTGAACCCCTGATAAGATAATGGCTATTTATTGCCAAGATATCCTTACTAAGATAAAAACAACCATGTGGTGGTCCCATAGTTTTCAATGAGACTCCGAATGAAATCAATCTGTGATGAATACAACTTCTCACATTATCTATGATATATTTTCTTAAATTAAGACAAAGAATGTAACTAATAAATTCATAATAAATCTGACTATATATTCGTCTAAACAACTCTATCTTTTATGACTGCTACTCACTAAGTAATATTGTACTACTGTATAGAGGTACTATATGGGTTTATTGATTAATTTATAAACATACTCATTTGTTCATGCAACTATATATGTCTATATTTCTATCAAATGAAATAACATTTGTTAGTTTCTACACTATTTTGTTACTCTTTCAATGAATTATCACTAGTTACAATTGTTGATTTATACACGTGATGAGTAAACTTAAGGTCAAACTGTGTGTAGTAACAGGAAGTGAATGGTTTGTTGTTGTTGTTGTTGTTATTTCATTGAATCGATAGTTTAATGGTTTCCATTCTCTTTCGAATTATACTTTCATTTAAGTAAATGAATATTCTAGCACTAAACTATAAAGTGTACCGTAAAAAGAAGTTTGTTTTTTTCACATAGTTGAAGTTATTGTTTATTTATTCATGTACATGTTTATATCCATAAATTCATCCAATTAGTCAATCAGTCAGTTAGCTACAACGTAGAACCAGGTACATATGTGCAGCAGTCCAACTTGCCACACCTAATTAGCTAAAAAAACTGAACCTCAAATTCATAGAAGTAGTCACTTCTATGATAGTAATGTATAAAAGAAAGATTGTGTATGAGGATATTGTGCAGGAAGAGAGGATTAGTTGGTAGAAATAAAGGTATAAAGCAAGCTTAATCTCACAGTTTAAAGGAAGACTAAAAGTGTATACAATGATGCCATTGTGATCGATTCTGAGCCATGTCACCCAGAGTCTCCAACCATTGGTTACGATGGTCACGCGGACTCCAACTAAGTAGTCTGCATCTACCACCATGGCTCAGACTAGAAGTTAGTGAGTTTAAGCACTGATGCCACCTTTTGGTTTGCCCGCCCCTAACTTTGTTCCAGCCATCTCCAACACTAGTCAGCATTGCGTGTCCTGATAATCGGTGTTCAGGCATACGTAACACGTTGCCCAACCGCTGCTGCTGCCATAACGTGGTGGTCGGGCTTATCTATTGTGATGACCCAATCGAGCTATACTGGCTGGGACAATCATTCCTCGAGGTCCTACCATGGCAGACAGGTTGGTTGAAGAGCGATAAAACTAAAAGCAGCAAACTTCGGGTGCGAGGGTTAAGTCGCACTGCTGACTGTACAGAGGTGTGACGGCAGTAAAGTGTTTCCTTCAGACAACCAGCATGACAGCAGCAATGCCTTTCCACAAAGGAAAGGTGTGATTAGAAAAGGTCGATCCTAAAAATGCACACTTCACCTTATCCCACGGATATCTGTCTCCAGTGGTAAGGTCTAAACAAGTACGGAGCTAACACGAAAATTACTCACAGAAAGGTTGTATATGACCGACCTCAAGCAGTTGTCCCTTGGGCACTGCGATCACGCTCTCGGGTCACTAAGGCCACCCCTGACCCAATTTCCTTTTCAGGTGCCTCTAGAAGAACCCTTCCTCGATGTGGGCAACCGGGAAGTGATAACCACCCTCATACCTCTAACAACACTCAAGATCACTGTATTCATAATCAATCTCCCTCTGATTCACTCAGTACTAACATGTAAACTAGTTACATAGAATCAGCACGATTAATCATGCGATTAAGTCGAGTCGTTATATCTGTAATTAATGGTATCAGTTTTCCAGATCTATTTCTAATTAATACGTTTTACTTTGTAGATGGTATTCGTTAGAGACTAATCTTAATTAAAGCATTAGCGAAAAGTATAAACCACTGGACAAACGTTTTATCCTAATATGGGACTCCTTAACTGTTTATATTTTCAATTCTATCAGTTATAGCATATTTGCCTTTCAAGATTTTTACAAAACACTTAACCATTGATTCATTGGGTTGGTATCCAAAGTTCTAACTTCATTTATGCCAAACCCAGTGATCCAAATATGTTGTATGAACTACTTTGAAAAATGTGCTTATATACAGTTCTATATTGCTTGTATTGGTTTAGATGTGTAGGGATGCCATTAGTGCTCATTGCTTGACCTTATTATAATCGGATGATATGGATAAGAATGAAATGCATATTCTAATTAACTTCTTATATATTTATCGACGTAAATAGCATTAATAAATGACGGGATAAAACAACTCAAATACGAATGCATATATTTCGCACATTCGTCAATGCAGACAAACAGCAAGAGAAGAAAAAGCACAGAAAGTCAACATGTCTACTGAATTTGATTCAATCATAACTTCAACTTGTATAATCATGAAAGATACAAGCAAGTATGGTGTACGCTACTTATATCAACATACACAAGTAGTACGTAACACCGATAAAAATTGGAATGTCAATTAAAAGAAGGTTGATAAGATTGAACTGAAGAAAATAGAAAGTGGAACAGAAAGGAATTAGGAATTGAAAGAATGATGAAGGATACGAACAAAAATTGATGGGAGATTTGCAAATGAATTATTTGATGTATAGTCGTCACATTTTACCAAAGAATAATAAATTGATTGTCCTCACCTGAGTTCTCGTTCACTACATAAGCATATAGACACATACATGCCACCGTAAATACATCCCAAGGTCGCATACATAAATGAAATGACTAATAAGATCAGAGTAATTCATCTATCCAAAAGTCAGGGTAAATCACATAGGTGTGTATTAATATAGAAGCTGTTATGTGCTAACCCCCCCCCTTAATATATAAACGAGCAAAAAATAGTTTTTCACTAATCACTTGACCTTAATTTTGTTGAGTGATATCGAGATCACAGACTGACCTAAATTAAATAACTGCTGGAAACCAAGCAGGACTGAACAGCTTTTCCATTCTAGTATTGGATTCTTCAGCAGTGTGCATCCACAACCCCACCTTATGAGATTGAACCCAAGACCTTTGGTGTTACTAGAAAACACTTAACCTCTAGATCACCGAGCTACCATCTGATGGCTTATCTGTCTAACTTTAATCAATTCACATTATCTAGCAACAATCTTTCAGTGTGTGCTTCTAGGTTTTTAATGGTTGTCTAACTTGTGCCAGTTCGTGATCACAATGATCTTAGTCTGTTAATTACAGTAAAGAACATTTTTGATTGAAGTTAAGAGGGTAAACCATTAAATTCATCCTCAATAGTCTAAAGTTATCCTTCTGTTGACAAAATCTAAAAGTCATGGCCTTGATTCTGTATGTGAGATCGTGGGTATGTGCTAAAATAAAGAGTGGTGAGACCATAATTTATGGACGACCTTGAGAGTGTCTACCTACTTACTAAGGCTAAATGAGGGTTATTAAACAGTTTGGAGAATAAGGATTATGATTCACAGTTGATGGCTAGGGTTGGGAATTAGAATCTCTCTTTTTCATCACAAAGTGACATCAGCTAAAATGCCAAGACACTATTTGGTCAAATGAGTGGGTGAATTTCGCGCCAAAATCCAAGACCTGCTCTCGTTAGTCTGATTGGTTCGTCCATAAATTATAGTCTCACCATTCCAACATTTTAAATCTACTCTTGTCAATAGCTGTCATGAGTATGTGTATACAAAATCAATAATTGAATGCCTGTTAAGCAAAGACCGTAGAAAACATTCTAAATTAGTTAGAAGCAAGTAAGATATATGAATACCACACTTTAGCAAGATTGAAATAATAGTTCTAATTAACTAGAATGTCCATGTTGACAAAATAACGATTCTGTCGTCAGATAGTAGCAAGTTCTCTAAATGACCTCAACAAGCTAAATATAACTGGAATGATCGATAAATTACTGAGTGAAATCTTCCAGAGAATAAGAAAGGATCATGTTAAATAATAAAGATATTTACAAATGTATTAAGCTAACAACATCAACGATACCATAGTGAAGTGCTTTGTCCAAAGTATAGAAACTTGGGTTACTTGCCCAGCTCATTTTTGACTTGCATAGATCTACTAATCAGTTTTCAGCGAAATGTTTAGAATATCTGTTGGAACCTGTAAGAAAACGTATTCTTATATATTCCCTACTCTTGTGGTCGGAGGGACTTAACATGACATAAAGCGCTTCGGCTATTCGCCTCTCTTTATGATTGAAAAAAAAAACATTTCTGAATTATTTTGATACTTTTAATATTAATTTGGTGGCTAATGAAAATATCATCGCTTAATCATTTGTGCTGATGATGTCATTCAGAATAACGATGAAAGCTCTAGGACTAAACCAATCCATTCAAAGAAAAAAGCTCTACCAAAACCATCTACCTGAGCTACAAGTCTTCTAGATTATCGTACATTTACCAATTCTACAGCATTATTAAGAGATCTTTTTGTGTAACTTACATGTTCTTTGACATAAGTAACGAAATATGAAGAATACAATTTTCTACTCATTGGAATATCACAAAAATATGTTTATTACTTTGTTTTCTTATGTCTTGTGTACTTTAGCTTATTTTAAATAACTAAACTTAAATTATTTTTATAGTTGAGATCATGAGCCAATTGAAACTAGATCACCTTGGAAAACCTGGAAGCACTGGACAGCCGTTTCGTCTTATCGTGGGACTCCTCAGCAGGGCGCATCCACGGTCCTGCTCCGCGGGATTCTAACCCATGACCTGTCGGTCTCGCGCGCGAATGTTTAGCTTCTAAACCCCTGAGCCGACACCCAATGGTGTTAATGTCTAGCTTCAACTAATCCACGAAATCGAGTGACACATCCAACATTCTCTTCAATGAGTTATTATCTCACAACAGACCCGTTCGAACTCCACTGATCAGGGCTTCTCACTAGGACTCGAGGAAATATCTCTTGAAGCCAGCCACTAGGGGGCATCTACTGAGGAGTCCCACAATAGGACGAAACAACCAATCAGTATTTCCAGGTTTTCCATGATGGTGTAGCTTCAATTGACTAATGATTTCAACTATTAAATCACTATAATTTCCACATAAACCCCTTTCTGATATCAAAAAATTATATTTTTAATTTATTAATATCGTAAAAATCAAGTTTATAGCTTCAGTCTTTTTTGATACGGGTTACTTGATAAACTTGTATATACGAGTTAGTTAACCACACCCATCACTAAGATATGCGAAATAGCTTATATGTAGTTCTGATATTAGGTCAACTACAAATCGTTTTTTGATACTTATTATGAATATAGAAAATCCCCTCTTTGTATGAGAGTTAATCGGTGACAACATTTTCAGGTGTGATGCAATTACTGACTAAAGGGATTGGATGATTAGTACATTCGTTTTGAGACCTGAAAATCTCAAGTTCAATCGTTGATTTGAGTCTTAAATGTGATGGAAAGTTATTTACTTGAACGAAACAACTATTCAGTAGTTTTTGTGAGGACGGTCCACAGGTGAACTAAAGGAATCTCTAAGAAGCTCAGAAAAAGCAGAAGGTATTTCATCCAGTTATCTTTTGGAAGAATATTCCAGAATCCATACGTGGAGCTTCCCTATTGAACAAACGCTAATAACCCCTGTGTGCGGATTGGATAACTATAATGATGATTTCATTTTTACTAAAAACTATAAATACCTGACATTTTTGTACAATAATTTGACACTGTTTGGAATAACATTCCTTTCACTTGTCTTTGTCTTCTCATCTGCGACTTGGGAGTGTTCTAGCGCCGAGTACTGATGTTATACGTGACATAGTAAGAATTTAAGCCTTAGATATAACGATTTTTAATGAGTAGTCTATGAAGAAGTAGTAATATTGAAAAGATTTTACTTGATTAACTAGTCTGTTAGCACCTTCTGCAGATCTTTTTGTCTATAAGTCTAAGAAAAAAACATACGAAATATAACTTTATCCATTCGGGAATAGAACATTCATCTTCTTTAACACTTATAAGAACTCAAGAAGTATGCTAGGCATCTTCGTATTCCTAGTTAAGGGTATACATTTATGATTGATTTGCATATTATTTATATTCTAGACATTTAGTACGTTTAAAGCTATCATTTTACACCATAGTGATAAATAGTAGTTTTTCCATTATCATCATTTTAAACATTCTAATCACTATGCATAGAATATCTGCTATTTGTTTGACATAATTTAAAATAAAAACCAACTGTGGACAAAACCTTAAAAGTTATTTACTTGATTTTGATTGTCTTGTCCCTATTCTATTACTACACTTTTATCAATATTTCTATCTCATTAACTAAAGAATCTCTACCTTAGTTGTTTTGCATTAATGTCTCCATACATTATTATACTCTATTTATTAATTAGGAGACAAAAGCTTTGACAAATGTTAAACACCGATATCCTGTTACTGGTTTGGCTAAACGAATGAGTATTGCTGCATCAGATCTTTTAGGTAAATCGGTAAGTTTCTTTGAAATAGTTTGATTTTATTATTATTATTACTGTTAACAGTTGATTGCATGTCATTGTTTTAAAATAAAGGCCGGTTTAGTCAGACATAATCATCAAATTGCTTGGCACAAATGTCTATTAACCCAAGTTACCTTATCACACAAACAATATGAGATGATATTAATAGTATGTTTAGTAAGGAAGTCGAAATACTTGTAGTTGTAATGATAACAATAAAGACTAAACGGTAATAGTTTGGTTTGAGAAGATGGAATGGAAAGATGTGTATGAAGGAATACTGGAACTCAAGATCAAAAAGAAAATAAAGCGAGTACAACTGCGGTGCCGAAACTGATTTTCAGTTAACCAACATCTTCAGCCGCCTATCACAGTTATCTCGAGGTCTCCATACCACTCTATACTATGCACATGCCAACATGACTCAGATCGACAGCCAATGATATAATGAAATAAGACCAAGTCTTTATTTGATTGCAGTTTGCTTTCTTCTAACTTACTCCTACACCAACCATAACAGAACGTCAGTGTGTTCAGTGGCTGAGCATACGTAATACATTTCACAGCCACCTTACTCAACAAAACTACACTACCTCATCATCTGATTTGTTATCTTTCTCTAGTAACTTATGCCTAACCTCAGCATTATTCACCTGGTCGTTCCACGGTACACGATTAGTTTCTCAAAGACAGGCATAGTCGAAACCCTGCAGCTTACGCATGTCTTTTAATTCCATAGAGCATGTTTCACAGCTATAGAGTAATATGGAGCAGATTACTTTCGGGAATACTAAGTCTTCGATTCATCCACGGAAATCTCGCTTACTGCACAAGTGACATAAGTTTGGAAAAGCCAAGGAGTGTTTCTGAGTTGTTTGACATGACTTTGAGAATCAATCACCATGCCAGTATGTGGAATACATTGAACAAAACACGTATCTTAGGTTTATTCACTCCTAGTCATAATCTAAACATATAATAATGTTTTATATTTGCTGAAATTCACACATGTTTGTCAGTGTCATTGATATTACAAAACAACCCAGGTTAGATAACCATTAAAACCCGGAAGCCCTGGACAGCTTTATCTCTTAAGTATGCGACTCCTCATCAGTAGACGTCCATGAAGTTGTCAGCAGCGATAGAATTTAAGACTTATAATCCTGCTCTCGAACGCTTAACCTGAAATTCACTAATCAACTATCCAGTGTTACATATATCTAACTTAAATTAATTTACAACAAAGAGTGATCATTTTCCATTGTTCTATGTGAGTATCTGCTTCATACTTGAGAAAAAATTGAAATTCACTAATCATAACTTTACACTGGAATTCCAAAATCACCCTTTGAAATCACTTACTAGTAGGCAATATGATCATTAACAGTATAAAAGTTTTTAAAGATCATTGAATATTAATGATCATGTTGTTATAGTCTTCAGCACAGTTGGGGGGGCAATTTGAATTAGGTTTCTTTTCAGATATACATTCATATTTTAATGTATTGAAATAAATTCAGATAAAATTCTCTAACAACTGAACACTTGCAAATATATATATACACACACACATCTGAGCTTACCTGCAGTGTTAGATGACTAGTGTTGGGGACGTGTTAGTTGCTAACTTTCTATAGGAAACATTGATTTGGATTAGATAAAGTTATGTTATAATCATTAGTCAGAATAATATAATGAATTGATTAAAATCATAACTTCAAGTTACATGTTTCGTAACATTTCTTTAGTGGGGATACTTCAGAAGTTAGATGTTACGTAATAACCTAACAGAGATTATTCAGTCAGAGATTGAATATGGACACCGTGAATCATGGATTGTACTACGACTTATTACTGAAATAATGTCACGAAAAAATCACTAAACATAATATGTTATGGATACGATCACATCGATTCCAATTACCACATCACATCAACATAGCGAAATGAATACCGACATAATAGTAATAGCATAGTGAACGAGAACTCAGTTGTGGAAGGCTAATTTAACATTTAATGCACAATTACACAGTGGTTTCATATTCATCAAGTGATGGTAAATCAGTTGACGAGGTTATGAATCTTCATCGACTGAGATGGTTGGGCCATGTGTTGCGTATGTCTGAACACCGATTATCAGGACACGCAATGCTGAATGGTGTTGGAGATGGTTGGGAGAAAGTCAGGGGTGGCCAAACCAATACGTGACATCAGTCCTTGAAGTCACTAACTTCTAGTCTGAGTCATGTTGGTAGATGCAAACTACTTGGTTGGAGTCTGCGTGACTATCCTTACATAAAATCTTTCTTTTATATATTACGCCTTTAAGTTAACTGCTTCTATGAATCCAGTGTTCGTGTTGTTGTGCTAATGAGGTGAGGCAACTTGGACCGATGCATATATGTGCCTGGTCCTACGTGGTAACTGACTAACTGGCTGGCTGACATAATTTACACGTCTTTTTTGAATTGTCTCCTACAAGCTTCATTGTTCATTCATTTCCGATTTAATCTAGACTGCTTTCAATTTCCTTCTCTCTTCTTTTCGCTTTAATCTTCCCAACCTTCTACTCGCAGATATTCCACTTCTGACTGGTGTTACATACTACTGATATCTGCAAACATAAGTAGCATACACCACAGTAGTAGTAGTTAAATCATTTTCTCTAAAAAAAGATTAGATGTAAACAATATAACTTCAAAAGCAACAGAATAATTCACTTAATAGAGAGTACTAGGATAATTTTCGAAGGAAAAATCATGATCTAAGGGAAGACATATCAACTAATGTCTCTAATCATTGATCATGATTATTCAGCGGACCTTAACTATGTAGTCTGCCCCTGATTATATGGATCAGATTAACATGAATTACTAAATGGATTATCTCATAATATTATTACATAATCAATGCTTAAAAATTTCATAGTCACTAAATACTAGCTGTTGTCTCATCAGTGTAGTCCTGGTTTAAGTAAATATAACTACATTTTAAAATGTACCTAACAAATATATTAGATACTAGTCGTATTATTAAGAATTGGCTCCAAATAATGAATAGAAGTTATCCAATGTGCTGTTACTGGTGTCTACCATTGTGGACTTTTAAAATAAATCAAAATAATACTGTATAACACCCTCTGATTATTAACTATTCTTCAACTGATTTCGAGTTTTACGAATTAAGTTATTTCCAAATTATACACATCTATTAGTCCTTCAATACTACTAGAAAGTTATGAAAGAGCAGTTGTCACTTTCCAACTACCCACAACGTAGAAGGATTTTATTTATTTTGACTTTTTCCTTGAGTCGTCCGAATATTAGTTTTCCATGTTTCAAGTTTCCAAAGTTATGGCAGTTGGATGTGGTTTTGATAATCTGGGAGCATAATTATAAGTCTAGCCATCTTCTTATTTCATTTCCATCATTCAATGACGGCTCAGCGGAATCATGGGTGCGCATCGTTAAGGAGTCTCATACGAAGAAGAAATAACTGTTCTTCCTGGCTTTTATTATCTGTCTAACTTAATTCAATTTGATGTATGAACTATAAGAAAAGTCTTGGGAAATGTAGACTAGTTTTATTGGATTGGGATAGATGAAAATATGTTCGCCTTACTTGGTTTCATTTTCCATTCACCAAGTCTTCCTTATCTATTTAACGATCATCCTTTTATAGAAGATGGTTCATCATTATCAAAAAGTATCCTTCATTTAATATTCTGAATCCAAGCTCCTAATATACGTTTTTTCTAATAATCACCATATTTTCAAAGGATCAAACTTTACATATGCTTAGTTTTCTTCAAATCAATTTCTCTCCCCCCTCTCTCTTTACTTTTCAGCGTGATGATCTCATTTTGTTGCTTCTTCAATTAAATCGTGAAAAAGCCAATCTAAAAGATGGTATGAATATTTCACTTATCAAATCGATCAAATTCAATTGGTAAAAGGGTAAATGTAATTGGGATTCATCTTTTTATTGAATATTTTTTACGTTTTTATTTGTTTAGTCTCTGGTATTTTCTGGGACTTTTAAACAAACTATTGAAATCGGTGTATCATTCTTAGATCCTGGGTTCGAATCCCGCGAGGCGTTGTCGTGGATGCGCACTTCTGAGTAGTCGAACAATAGAACGATACGGCCGTTCAGTGTTTCCAGGTTTTCCATGGTGGTCATGATGCTCAACTATTGAAATTACTACAATCTTCACAAAACCCCTTCATATACTAATTCTTATTCAGTTTTCTTTACCAAATTTTTTCACTTATGGAATAGATGAGATGTCTATTTACCTATCTATTAGTGAGTAATTATATACTGTCACTGTGAAACATTGCCTTCGAAATTAATTAACTTGCATAGATTGCAAGTATATGATCACAAGAGTCTAAGAAACTATGAACGCGTACAATGAAACTATGGATTGAGTATTGTTGAGATTAAACTTATTTATGAATAGAAATGGTTGGTTTTTTGATAACATCGAAAGTATTCATCAACTTCGGTTGTTGACAGAAGTTAGAGTTAGAGATCTACAGAAACGTCGCAATCTACTATTTTAAGACCTGAACTGTTTCGACCCAAAAATTGTCATAGTTGTGAATTCACATTCATTCTTTTTCATTTAAATCATGAGCTTAATGAGACATTTCATACTTTCCATTCTTGGATTTTATTCGTTGCCTTTGAACCGATTAACCTGTCAATTTTGCTAATTCCCTTCCAGTGTTTATCATTTTCTTATTGACCCCCTCTTTTTTTAAATTTATGTACAGTGTCGCAACATGGACCGATATACACTTCTCATATCTTATTTTGTCTGTGACTGATTAGCATTCACTTGACAACTGACAGTGCTTCTAGTGAGAAGCAGTGACCAGTGGATTTCAACTGGGTCTGTTGTGAGATAGTAACTTGCTGAAGAGAGTGTTGGATGTTTCACTCAGTTTCGTGGATTAGTTGGAGCTAGACATTAGCACCATTGGGTGCCGGCTCAGTGGTTTAGAGGTTAAGCGTTCGCGAGCGAGACCGATAGATCCTGGATTAGAATCTTGCGAGTCGGAATCGTGCATACGCACTGCTGAGGAGTCCCAAAATAGGCCGAAACGGCTGTCCAGTATTTCTAGGTTTTCCATGGTGGTCTAGCTTCAATTGACTCATCTCAACTATTGAAATTAATTGAATATTTCATTAAATTATTTATTTATTTATAGGTTCCAGTTTAAACTATTATTTCCAGCATTGCTTTCTTAACATTTATCAAAAAGTATAATTAGTAAGTTTGTAATCCATTAGCGATAACAATCAAGTGTTATTGGTTACGATACCGTATTTTTATTGACAATCCTATATACGTTCATATGACATCTTGGTTATCTACTTACTTACGCCTGTTACCCCTCGTAGAAGAGCATAGGCCATCCACCAACATTCTCCATCCAACTCTGTCCTGAACAATCCTTTCTAGTCGTTTCCAGTTGCTATTCGTCCTTTTGGTTTCTGCCTCCAATGCTCGGTTCAATGTGTTCTTTGGTTTTCCTCCTTTTCGTATCCCTTCAGAATTCTAAGTTGGCCCCTGCATCGTGATGCAGTTTGATGATTTCCGTAATGTATGTTCTATCCACCCTCAGCGTGTTTTTCTAATTATATGACATCTTGTTTGATGAATGACAATTTATCGTCGTCATTAAGCGTAAAACTCAAAAGACCAGGTGTGGATAAACTTCACTATCGTTCGTAATTTTGACCTTACACCTGGTAATCCATTAAAATGAAGCAGGATTTCTTGTTTACACTATAATGATCCATGATGGGAGGCGTGTTTCGTCCTCTGTCGTTTATGCTGACTTACATAAAAATGTAGTTTTCTACGATAAAAATACCACTCCATCATGCTGAGGACGTGTCAAGTATAACATAGTCAGTTTTGATAGAAGAAAAATTACAACATAACAAAAGTCATGTCATAGAAATTATTCCTAAATATCTACAATTGAGTAGCTTAAACATAACCGTAATTACTGGCTACGGTACATTTAGATGATTTGACAACGTGGAATTTATCTCCAGCCGACATCTATTTCGTCAATGTTAGTCTGTTTACCGCTTTCAATAGTTATATGTTATTTGTAAGGAAAATGTCCATTGAATTCAGTCAGCGAACAATATTGTTTTCGATTAGATCTTCATCAGGCATACAATAATATTTATATACATTAAACGGAATTCCTAAATCAATCAAGGCAGTTTATGAGTCAATAATGACAATCGAATGGATTACATAAGTAAGGTACATTAGCCGTAGCCAGCGCTTGCTTTCAATTTGGATACAGCAATATATCCCAGTGTGATTCTACAACGGTGATAGGAAAGCAGTTAGAAGTCCCATCCTTGAACATCTAATCGACTCTAATCATTCTACTGATTCACAAGTTGATTTTAAGGTTGCGTATACGATTCATCCAAACACAATACTTAGAAAAGTGCAAATTGATAATGTGATGATAGGTGTACTAGTTATGATTAGAATAACAAAGATCTGAATCAATGTTTCATAATGGGAAATAGGTCAATGACTTGAAAAATAGAAATGCTAAAATAATACTCATAAAAACAACATCTAAAAAGAAGGGGGTGAAGCAAAATAAACGAATAAAGAGTATAAAAAATAGTCGTAAATAAAATCTTTCGTTATGGCTAATTCGGCCTAGGAAGAGTTAAAGGTGTTTCAAATTGCAAATGAATACAGAGACTCGGATTGTTACCTTGAATCTTTGTATCTTCCACTATGTTTAAAAGACAAAATCAAACCCCATAAGGAAAAACTGGTAGGATTACGACAATTCACTTTAAATGACCTATTTCTATCTAGTACATGACCACTATCGATAAAGTGTGATAGAACAGACCTGCATATTGTTTTGACGATACTCCTTCTTAACTACAAAGGGAGGTGCACACTAACTCGTTGGCTCAGTTGTCTGGTTGTGCGTCCAAAATCTCTCTCTCTACACAGGAACAGCTGAATCCGTAGATACACATGGATGTGGCAGAAACAGTTAACTTATCCTTTAGTTGAGGAATCACCATATATCGGCTGGAGCACGATAGACAGATGTTAGTTGCATTAAATGAAACATTGATACAAGCTTTTGTTATTCTTATCACAACTAGTACACCCGTCGTCACATTGTCAATTTGTACTTTTCACTTATTTATCACTGACTCATAAACTATCATGATTGGTTTAATCATTTCGTATAGGCATATATCAATATTACTGTATATTAGAGTAGAACATGATGAGGATCTAATTCAAAACAATATTGTTCGCTTATATATGTTGTAGCCTACAAGACACGCGATGGCGAAATCAAAGAGCCGTATTGAAATCACTGACCTTTCACTTCGCCTTATCATATCGATAATTCAATGTGCCAACCAAATTTATTATAGATGAAACTACTTTGTACACAATTTTTGTGTGATTTCACTTACATTTGATAATTCTGACTTTTTGGTCCATTCCCTGACGAAGATCAAACCAGACAAACTGATGAGTGTAATTTTTTTATTGAGATCATGAACCGAATGATGTGAGACCATCATTGAAAACCTGGAAGGACTGGACGGCCGTTTCGTCCTAGTATGGGACTTCTCAGCAATGTGTATCCATGGCCCAGCACACTGAACTCTTAATTTATAAACGATCACAAAATATCGTGGATTAGTTGAAGTTAAACTGTAACACTATCAAATGTCGGCTCAGTGATCCAGAGGCTAAGCGTTCGTGCGCAAAACCGAAGGTCCTTGGTTCAAATTGGGTTGGCTCAATAGGTTACCTTAGTTATATCAGAACATATTCATTCTTATTATCTTGTCCTTATTTTCAATGACCTTTGCGTGGAAAACTTAAACCAAGATTTTACATTTTGTAATTGCGTCTTTGACCTTTAGTCTCTTATGTCTTGTAGTTTCTAGTCTGTCTGGTGATTCATCTATTGATTAATGTTTTATTTTACTCATTCATGTGAACCACATTCCCTGATTTTCACTAATTATATCCATGCATACCAACAAACAAAACCAACACATTAAAACCATTTCCTTTAATTTAAGTGAAGAATTTTATAGAGTTTATTTTAATGTATAAATGATTGTTGTCAAATATAGATCTCATTCTAGAATGGGACTTTTTAGCGGTGCACACCCATAACCCTATAAAGGATCAAGGCCGGGATATTTGGACATGACAAGAAAGAAACAGCTGTCATCAATATCATCGGATGGTCGTTGCACTTTATTGAAAAGCTGATTAACTCTGGAACTGCCTTGATAGGCGCCAACTCAGTGGGTCTAATCGTTAGGCGTTTATCGTGAGACCTGGGGACCTAGAATTCGGCTACAGGTGGGAGCCCCATACGAGAAGGGAGTAGTCATCTAATGATTCATATTTTTCAATAGGACCTTATTTGAAATCAATATCTGACTAATCACTACAAAATCCTTTCACCTAACCTTGAAATTCTTTTCTGAAATTCAATTTTAGGAATACAAAAGAAGCAAAATCAGATATAACTGTAATTCAGTCTGAGTTGAATGATGTAATTGGTCAGTTGAAATTATCAGACCCATTAATAAAGTTTCTTGATAATATGATCCGTATGGGTGATGTTTACGGTGGTGATGATGTATTATTTGCTAGTGAATATCGAAGAGTAAGTTATTCGTTTTCTGTTGAATATCTTTTGATGACAGAATAGTATTTTTTTTGCGAAGAGAGGTAAAGAAGTGTCTAACCAGTGTAAAATCATGGTGAATTGGGTTCAAATACTTATTTGACAATTCAATTATGTTACTAAATAAGGATTTATCCAAACTAGAGTTTAATGAAGGTTTGACTTAATGGTCAGAATACTTGACCTTCAGCCACTAGACAACAAGTATGGACATTGCCGATCCCCCCTCTTTTTGTTCAAGGAACTATCGAGAATATAAATCAACACTTCGATAATAAAGTGTTGCAGTAAATGATGTTAATAATATTATCTTTAGAGATTATAAAGTTACCGCCAACTGTGTATATGAATTGACATTTATCTGTTAAAGGGATCAGGTTGGAAGACCGAACTGTTTTCTGTATCATCAATCTACAACCAAACTCCTATCTTTTTAGATTATCTGAAGCTATAGCCATCAAGCTCCTTAAGCTGAAATTATCTATCCAATAGGAAACAGTGTTGATCATCCTCAACATTGATGATATTCGGCAATTTTTTCAACGTTTAATGACTTTTTGTCTAAATTAAAAATAGTTCAGCCTAGTGGTTGATTCGGCTTAGTATTAGTGCATCACAATGTTAATTAACATAACTTGGTTGATAAAATGAAGTCAGAAAGGCCGACTAGATGATTATGTGATATAAAACGTTCGCTAATGACCTGTTGGTGGATTAAAACAGTAATAAAAGTGTTATGAACGGGGAATTAAGAAGCCCAGACAATTACGAAAGCTATTTTCTTGGGACGTTATTGCATTTCATTCAAAACCTGTAAAACACTTATATTTATTTTTGTCCCTATCTTATTCTACATAACACGAGCTTTCGTTCTATGTATCGTTCACTAGCATACCCTTTTTTGTTCCAAAAATATTGTAATTTAAACATTATATTTTGCACTATATTTTCTACCCTAATTCCCTGTTTCGGGCATAACTGTATTTTTCCAAATTATCCTACGTCGTGGTCAAGATATGCACTTATTTATTCATGTACATTTTTGTAGTAATCCGAATTCAGAGAATCCAGAGTTTAGTGTTCCAACTGTCTTGTCTTCTTTCACTTGTGTGCTTGCCAACCAATCAGGATTTAGAATAGTTCTCTCTACCCCATCTCGAACTCACGCATATTAGACTCAAGGTTAAGCCACTCAGCCTAACGCGTCAAGGTCATAATTTAGACTACACCGACCAAGGTCAAGTCATAACAAGTATCACGGGGTAAAAGCGATTCAAGGTCATAACAACTGGCGACGGAGAATTTTTTTTTCTTTCCTATATTGATTGATCCAGTACAAAATGCCTGTTTCATTGGATGACCTTAAAACTATTCTTCAAATGCAGCAAGCACAAAATGAGGCAAATCAAATGAAGCTTTTGGATGCATTCGCACGAATGTTCTCATTACAGTCGTCCTCAGCTTGTCAATCAGATAAGCATGAAAGCATCATAAATTCTATTTCTGAATTCCAGTATGATCCTGAAGCTAATATCATTTTCAGTTCGTGGTTTCACCGTTGTGAAGATATTTTCCGCGTTGAATGCTCGCATCTTGATGACGCAGCGAAAGTCCGCTTACTCTTAAGAAGACTGGGAACACAGGAATATAATAAATATGTGAATTTTATCTTGCCGCAAAATCCACGAGATGTATCATTCAAAGATACAGTCCAGATTTTATCTGATATTTTCGATGAACAGTCCTCATTATTTAATACTCGCTATAAATGTTTCCAAATAACAAAATCTCCAGAGGACGATTATCTCACGTATGCCGGGAAGGTAAATCGACAGTGCGAACGCTTCAAAATAAACGAAATCACAGCGGACCAATTTAAATGCTTGATTTTCATATGTGGTCTAAAGAATGAAGAAGATGCAGATGTCCGTACCAGAATGTTGGCACGCATTGAACAAGAACCAAATATGACATTACAAATGGTTACAACCGAATGTCAGCGGTTACTTAATCTCAAGCATGACACTGCGATGGTGCAACAGAAGGTTAAACCTTCCGGTTCTGATTCAATTAATGCGCTCCGATCCATAAAATCATCGAAACAAAACTGTACAAGCAGGAAACAACCTGCCAACCCCCCATCACCATGCTGGTTCTGCGGAGCATGGCATTTTGCAAAATTCTGTCCGTTTAAGAATCATAAATGCCGCAAATGTCATCGCATTGGCCACAAAGAAGGTCATTGTTCGTTAAATAAACGCAAGACTAAACATCGTAGTGAAAATTCAAAGCAACGATCAGACAGTCAAATTAAAACCACGTTTGCAACCTTTAAAGTTGGATTTAAAAGTAGGCGGAAATTCGTAAATTTATTAGTAAATGAAAAACTTATACGACTTCAGTTGGACACTGCTTCTGATGTCACGTTGATTTCAAAGAACACATGGCACAAGTTAGGATGCCCATCCATCCGACCGACGGAACATGTCGCCCGAAATGCGTCAGGAGACATAGTAAAGTTGACAGGAGAGGTCCTATGCAATGTTCAACTTATGGGAAGCAAATTTACAGATGTTTGTTATCTAACAAATCGACACGATTTAGATCTATTGGGATTAGATTGGATTGCACATGTTGATACTTTGAATAAATTATTAGATGAGGTATGTTCTCAAAATGTTTCCTATGATTCTATCCAAATCCCTAATGATATTTCTAAATCAAATGCCTCCGACGAATCATCCTCTCTGGATATTAACGAATTAAATGCTTCTGATGAAACATGTTCTTATGATCTTTCTGAATCAAACAATTCAAATGTTATGTGTTCTCACCATGTCAAATCAAATACCGCCGATTCATTGCCTTCTCATAAAATTTCCAAATCGAATACTTCAGACAAAGTATGCGCTAGTGAAACTTCGGAGTCTCATGTACTTCTTTCAAAGTGTCCACGAAAAGCTGAACTACAATCTTGGCCATCTCCAGAAAACCTTGGTCGCGTATACATGTTGATCTTGCTGGCCCATCCCAGGGTACGTACTTCCTCGTTTGTGTTGATGCTTATTCAAAATGGCCGGAGATTTTTCCTATAAATCAAATCACTTCGCAACAGACTATCATGAAGCTACGGCAGTTATTCTCCCGTTTTGGAGTTCCAGATGTTCTCGTGACAGATAACGGCACTCAGTTTATTTCTTCCATCTTCTCAGATTTCTGCAAGAGGTTTGGAGTCAAACATGTCCGATCACCTCCGTACCATCCACAATCGAATGGTCAGGCCGAAAGGTTTGTAGATACCTTCAAAAGAGCGCTACTGAAGGCAAAAGGGGAGGGAAAGATAGAGGAGATTCTTGATGACTTTCTCTTGGTCTACAGAACAACTCCAAACCCATCAACACCAAATCAAATGTCCCCAGCAGAAATTATGTTTGGTAGAAAAGTAAGAACTGCCCTCGATGCCATGAAACCACAGCAAAGAGACATCGGAAAAAGAAACAGAAAGATGGAAAACCAATTTGATCGCCATCATGGGGCGAAACGCAGAATTTTCCAGAAAAATCAAAAAGTATACGTCCGCGATTTCCGATATTCACCTCCACAATGGACCAGTGGACGCATACTTAAGAGACAAGGGAACGTAATGTATGTGGTGGAAGTTGAAGGACAGAAGTGGACACGCCATGTCAACCACATACTGGAAAATGCTGGCACTTCACAGAAAACCGAGAAATTAGACTCAATGTGGAGAATCATTCTGGACAGTTTTGACATAAAATGCTCAGCGACTCAGAAGACCACGCAACCTGAACAAAGTCCTATTAGGAAAGCATCACGGAAACGCAGAAGACCAGATATTCTACAGGTAGACCCAAAGAGGAGAACATACGTTTCCGAAGGAAGATATCAATGATGATATCTCAGCACTTACCTGTATATAGTAACTAACCATATTTTTTTTTTTTTTTTTTTAAAGGGGGAAGGTGTTATGAACGGGGAATTAAGAAGCCCAGACAATTACGAAAGCTATTTTCTTGGGACGTTATTGCATTTCATTCAAAACCTGTAAAACACTTATATTTATTTTTGTCCCTATCTTATTCTACATAACACGAGCTTTCGTTCTATGTATCATTCACTAGCATACCCTTTTTTGTTCCAAAAATATTGTAATTTAAACATTATATTTTGCACTATATTTTCTACCCTAATTCCCTGTTTCGGGCATAACTGTATTTTTCCAAATTATCCTACGTCGTGGTCAAGATATGCACTTATTTATTCATGTACATTTTTGTAGTAATCCGAATTCAGAGAATCCAGAGTTTAGTGTTCCAACTGTCTTGTCTTCTTTCACTTGTGTGCTTGCCAACCAATCAGGATTTAGAATAGTTCTCTCTACCCCATCTCGAACTCACGCATATTAGACTCAAGGTTAAGCCACTCAGCCTAACGCGTCAAGGTCATAATTTAGACTACACCGACCAAGGTCAAGTCATAACAAGTATCACGGGGTAAAAGCGACTCAAGGTCATAACAAAAAGAGTGACATAACTGAGACTAGAAAACCATGAAACATATGATCGGTGTTTTGGTGCACATCGACTGAGTGCATCTATGTGTCGTGTCAAAGACAATAACACCACTCATCCACTGATTGGAACTCAAGTTTTCAAAAGTCCTCCTTTTTAGTCAGTTGATGATATAAAATAGCCAATTAATCAACTTTCGTAGTTTTCTTGGACTAACTTTTTTACATGGTTTTCTTTTAACCATCAAAATAGCATCTATTACCCTCTCATGAGATTGTTCCATCAAAGCCAAGTTTAGAGTTTGCTCGCGACATTGAAGAACGTGAAATTGCTCGTGTTCTAAATAATTCATTACGTCATTCTCTACATCGTACAAGTCCTCTATCGGATGGAAATCATTTCAGTCAACCAATAACACCTATTTCATCATCACCGTCACCATCATCATCACCTTTCAATAACTTAAATGCATCGATTATACCGAAATTAGATAATATGCCTGAACCGGTAGAAATTCGATTACAACGAAAACGTTTGGAACAGGAATTAGCTAATATTGAAAATCTATGTGCTCCTCATCAGTTGATCCATAGAAAATTGAAGGATACACAAAAATCAATTCGATTAACTGAACGAAATAAATTGCCTACAGAACAAGTAATAGAATAATGTATTTTTATATTTGTGTGTAAACTAATTGTTAGTACATCTTTGTATTGGTTATTTGAATTTTCTGATTGATTTTAAGAACTGTAATGGATCAGTCTCTTATTGGTATATGTATATCATGTGCGGATTGTTTCAATATTGAGTTGAGTCACAAGTATTATAAGCATAGATGATAGTGGCTAGTAGTGGAATCCAGGATGCGCGTTTCGTCCTTCTTGGAACTAAGTGGATAACTTGATGGAGTTTTAAGTGAACGTTATCAGGTTCAAGTCACAGAGTGAACATCAACTCTGGGATGAACTTACATCCAGCTGACCAGTTTCAAAAAGAACGAAACGAGCGCCCTGAATTCTACTGCTAACCAATATCATCTCTACTTGTAAGTAGCTTAAATTGTTAACAGTAAATACTTATTCGTTCGACAATTAACCGATAAATGTTTGAAATTCAATTCAGTTATCTAGCTGAGATTTATTTGGTTCTTTTTACCTTGAATAAGTACTTCACTACCAGTTTTCAATTTATATTGAGCCACTAAAATATAGTTTGTGTGTTATTTCATCTTATTTATTGTTTAATTATTTAAACATATAAATATTGATACAAAGGGGCACCGAATATATATGCTCCACACAAGTCACTTCATTTGTGTGTGGGCTATGATACTGCCCAGGTGCCCAAACCGTACCAGGTGGTTTTCTCAGGGGGCTACACCTGGAGCCTTCGACCAAAAGGTCTGATCCACAAGGCAGTGGCACAACATAAGGAGATGTAGTCCCATATTATCCGGTGACCAACAATTGGTTTTTATGCCATTTGTTCACTTAGGATCCTGAAGCCCATGTGCACCATTGGTTTGGAGTGAGGGTTTTCCAACTCCCCTAGGTGTACTCTCCGTGTCCACCAACCCAGTTAAAGCGCCGGAAATTCGCTTTTCGTCCTCTGAATTTCGTAAATAATAACCCCGCCACGAGAAGGTGGTGAGTAGGACTTCCCTATATACGGGTGGCCATGTGAGAGCATCTAGAGAGGGAGTACTAACTCTCCCCACTCTCAGCCATACCAGGGCATTCTGGGGCATTGAATATTCAATCATCGGATAGATATTCTTTTTATTGAATAACTAACTGATAAAATTTCATGATAATCCTGGAAAAGCGTTTTATTAACAGTAAACTTAAAAATGTCATACTGTTCAAATTTAAGTTAACAGCCTATCTCTAAGCATTTGGATGGGTCTAACCTTTTAATATTAGATTTTCCAATTCCTACTCATATCTGTATGTTGGTTTTCTGCTTGATACTGTAATTTCTGAGTTACTACTTATCGATGCTTTCTATAAATAGTCTCATAGATTCGTTAATTGTTACTTCTTTTAATGATTTTTATATTTATGCTTCTTTCAAATTATTCTTTTGATAAAGTTTTATTATATACCTATATGGAATGATTCAGTAGTGTTGACTGATTTGAAATAAGATTTGAATTAAAGTAACTCCGAATCGATATGGCATAATAAAAACGTTTACGCTAACAACTTTGTTTTATAAACTTTATAGTTAATGAATCGTAACTCCCTTCAAAATACTTTCCATTTGTGACTGTATAGTTGTATCATCACCATTTTTTGTTTTACTCAAAGTATCCATGTATGTTTCAAGATGTTAGACTCTTCAACCATATCATCGTCATCATTATCACTTCACGCTGCATATCATTTTAAATTTTTGTCTAGGGTCGTATAAAAGGTTTATTGGTATCCATGCCAATACTGAACTAACAATCAGTAATCACAAGTGATATTAACAGTCTTCTTGATTGTATGCTATCTCTACAGATTGCACAACTCTCACTTGACCATTTGATTCACTTGAAATAATCTTTTTTTCTAAGAAAAAAGTAATGGGTGAATGTCTTTAGAAGTTTCAACAAGTTTTGATAAAACATTGATTTATTTCTAGTCTTCTATTCATTGGACATATCATGTACATTGAATATTCAACTTCTTTCAGTAACCACATTATTTCATATCCCTTGTTAACAAGTTGAATATGTGCAATAATCAACGTATTGAACATTGAATTATTTATAGTTAACCAACTAGGAGTAATTTATGAACGAACCAGTCAGACTTGAGATAGCAGGTTTTAGATTTTGGCGCGAGATTCATCTACACATTTGGCTAAATATTATTTCAACATTAAAGTTGATGTCAGTTCGTGATGAAATTATTGAATCTAATTTGTAACCCTAATTTTCAACTGTAAATCTGTTAAGTCTTGCTGATATGACGCTATATTCGTTCCTAAGCTATTTCTGCTAACCCGCACGCTAGAACTGTACAGCGACCTGAACACCAGAAAGAAGACGCAAAGTATGAGAGAGACACTTTACTCAAAGGCTCGTTTTTGTACAGAAAACATGGGTATTTATATTTAACGTTAGTTAAATCAACATCATATTTCGGCCAATCCGTTACCGACATATTATGCTACTGACCAATAGTAGCACGCCACGTTGGAATTCTAGAATGCTCCATCATGCTCTGGTTGGCTAGGACTCTTCAGCTATTTTTGGGCCTCTAGAGGCTCCGTTGAAGTTCTCCGAAAGCCGGCTCAACAAAATCCTAATCCTAGTTCTTCACACTAATTTACAAATCTTATTTAACCTTGATAAAGTAGATGAACATTTCCAAGGTTATTTTAACAGTGCCCATAGTCTCATCAAATTTTCTACTTTGTTTTAGTCAAATAAATTTAATTCCAAAGCACCATCAGCTACTTTATTACGTAGATTACATCAAGATAATATACATAATCGTCAATCAAAATCTGCTAATAATTCAATGAGACGTAAATTAACTGGATCTGATTATGCTGAATTCTATGATGATGTATATAAACGTCCCAATACTGCATTTGACCATTATTCACAATCATCAATAAAAAATAAATCATACAATATTCATCATAAATATCATTATGATAATGGTGACAATGAACCAAGTGAAGATGAAGATGGAATTAAAACATTTCGAAGGTTTGTTAAACTTATTTGAATAAAGTTTCATGTTTCAATTTATAATAGAAAAAAATTTCAAAAAATACAGTTAGATGTGAATAGAAGTTGAACAAACTGAAATGGGTCTAACTGATTTTACAACTTTGAAATGAAGAACATCCAGCTGATGAGTTCTAAATAGGATGAAATATGCCTCCTGGATTCAATTGTTAACCATCATCTATCTTTGCTTATGATATTGATGATAATCAATAATTCTTAGTCGAAACAACTTGTGTAATAATAATAGTAATGATAAAATACAATTATATTTTGGCAGAACGAACAGTTCGAATGAATATATTATGTTTTTGGTAAAGAGAGAGATATAATGAAACCGGGCCTGTTGTGAGATAGTAACTGACTGATGATAATGGTGGATGTATCGCTCAATTTCGTGCATTAGTTAAAGTTAGACACTAACACCGTTAGCTACCGGCCGGCTCAATGATCTAGTGGTTAAGTGCTCGCACGCGAGCATGATAAGTCCTGGGTTCGAACCCCGTGAGGCGGGGTCGTGGATGCGCACTGCGAAAAAGTCGTCCTGTGCTTCCAGGTTCTCCATGCTTATCTAGCTTCTATTGACTCATTATCTCAACTATTGAAATTACTAAAATCTCTAAAAAACCCCTTTTGATATAATGAATCATTTTCTGATACATAATTGTGGTTTAAAATTCTATACAGCTAATGATTCAATAATTTATAGTAGGCTTAAGCGTATATCCATACAACTCTTTGACTGGATTCTATCATTGTTAATATCAAATAATAAATGCTAAGTCGAATGTTTTTAATCTTGTACTTGTTATAAAGTGTTATATTATGCTAAGACAAACTGGTGAATGTACCCGAATGTAGTGCAGACATAACATAGACGAACAGTTTACTTCCCTAGTTCTACTTGAGCTAGTAAACTAATAGATAAACTCTGAGTTAGTTACTAGTGACAACTGATCTATGAGACTTGGGGGTGGGGTGGGGATGGTTACGCAAAGAAATAAAAGTTGTTTAATTCGAAAAAAAATTTTTTTCCTTTTTTTTCTCTTCCAATTAAAGTATCCCAGAAAATTTGAATTTATTTCCAAATGATACATTATTATGAAAAATACATTAAAACCATTACAAGATGAAAGACATAAACCATTGAATTTTAGTAATCCACCAATTCGATCAAGATCTTATTCTGAGAAACCGATCACATCAATCAAGACACCTCTAATCAATAATCCTTTAAGGAAGTCATTTGAATTATCATCAAGATATTCCCATGATGATATGGAAGATCAAGATCATTATGAAAATAATGATAGAATTTATAATGAATTACAAAAGAAACCTTACATGAATATTCTACAAATGAAGTGAATCAAATTAATGAATGGAATTATGATTTATCCAAACGAAAGGTACTTTTTGTTTTATTATGATCCTATAAAATATTAATCTTATTATTAGATGTTAATTTAAGGAATATGAAAATGAACTTATTCACTTCTAGGATTGAAACTTTTACAGTCTGATTCTTGGTAGATTTATGTGTGTGTACAGTCTTGTAATAGAACTTAAAACATATTCGGTGATCAATGATGGATAGTGGCTAGCAGTGGAATCCAGTTTGACGCGCATTTCGTCCTATTTGGGACTCGTCGGCTGGATGTACTTTCATCTCAGAGAATTAATGTTCACTCTCGGATTCGAACCCAGTGCCATTCGCTTCAAACGCCATCGCGTTATCCACTCAGCTACTGAGTTCTGATAGCCACTTGATTGTGCAATGGGGTGAATTTGAATTCACTTGTTATCGTTTGGCTTGTAGGACGAACCGCACGTCCTGGATTCCACTGCTAGCCACTATCCATCATTGCTTACAAATAGCTTGTGAATTAAGGTAATATCGAGGCATACACACAGTATGCACATATGCCAACAAGAGACTGATCAATTGCAGTCCTAAACATCAATGGGAAGATACAAGCCAAACAATACCAAGTGATGTTCTGTGATTCTTAATTTTCAGCAGTTGTCTAAATTTGGTGCATAATTTAATTTATCATTTTTTAATTGACATGATGAACCGATTGATGTCAGACCACCATTGAAAACCTGAATGTACTGGATGACCGTTTCGTCTTATTGTGGGACTCCTCTGCGGTATCCACGATCCCACAAGTGGGATTCGAACTCAGGGCCTCCAGTCTCGCGCACAAACGCTTATTCTCTGGACCACTGAGTTGGCCGGCACCCAATGGTGTTAGTATCTAACCTCAACCAATCCACGAAATTGCGCGACCATCTTCCATTTTACTGAGGTAGATACCTGTCTAGTTCTAGTGAGAAGCCGTGACCAGTGGAGCTAATCCTTGTCGGGTAGAGACAGGTATCTACCTCAGTACAATGGAAGATGATCGCGCAATTTCGTGGATTGGTTGAGGTTGCACATTAGCACCGTTGTATGCCGGTCAGCTCAGTGGTTTGGAGGTTAAGCACTCGCATGTGATACCGAAGGTACTGGGTTTGAGTCCCCTGAGTGGGATCGTGGATGAGCACTGTTGAGGAGTCCCATACTAGGATGAAACGGCCGTCCAATGCTTCCACGTTTTCCATGGTAGTCTAGCTTTGATTGACTCATGAACTCGACTATTAAAACCATATTTATTTAATTAAATCAAATCTAAAATAAATGTCTCAAAACTTTAAACGTATCACCGAATATGTAAAAATAATATTATAATCCTTCAGGTAATTCATTATGAAGATAACTCATGGATTAGGGTTGAGCAACTTCATAAAACTTGTCTTCAGGCAAACAATACGGGTCATTTTACAAGTCTTAGTTAGGAGACAGTAGAGAATTATACTTCAAAGAAACATGTCAAATACGATTGTCTGTCAAACAGCTTAAATTTGGAAGTATTGGATTCCAACCTAATGATTTCAAGACAATATGATCACGACAAAACCTGACGATCAAAGTTTCAATCTTGACTCCGATTGTCGTGCGTGCTTGCTATGGAAGAGTCACAGACTAGCGTAAACATTACAGTCCAACACTTCTCGGGTTTACAATGGCTATTCAGCTGATGTTGAAGACTGCAGTCGATAGATTTCTGTTGACATTTATGCATGCTGTGTGGACTGCCTTCATATTTCCGTTCAATCATAAGCTTTTGTTAAAGTTGGGTAACAACTAGCATTGATATTCTTTGAGGCAAAAGGTACTGCGTTTGCTTCTCAATGTGAATAGCAACAGTGAAATGTTATCACATCCAGCTGATGAGTCTCAAATAGGATAAAACACGTTTCCTTGTTGCTACCATTAGCCACTATCCAATTTTCATAAAACGTTACTCACCATTTCAACTGATTCTATGTATCTTTAATAACTGTCTTTCTTTTTTCTGTTTGTCATTGATAAAAATAGACTTTGAATCATATAAAACCATCTCATGATATAGATCATCTTCAATTTAAACCAAATATATTGTCCTCTGAATATTCAAAGTATTCTGCATTTGGTAAGTAAAGTATTCTATTTAGAAATAAGTCATTGAGAATTGTTTGTATTTATCTATAGGGTGTTTATAATTTGACATATATTGAAAATATGGAAGCACTGGACGGCAGTGCTTCCAGGTTTTCCATGGTGGTCTAGCTTCAACTGACTCATGATCTTAACCATTTAAATTACTATAATATCCATAAAACCCATCTGATATATTGAAAAGATTAAGTATTGCAAACACTGGCATTAATGACACTTAGTTATGAATGTTATACAATGCTGATGTCAGTTAAATAATCTGAAAATAATAAAATGGAGGTGTCAATGAACACTGGTCAACTAAATCACAAACTATTGTGTACTCAATCGAAGAATGAAAGGTATCGTTGTCAATGTCGAAGTGCTCTCACATGACCACGCGTATAAGGTCAGTCAGTCAGTCAGTAACAACGTAGAACTTCGTACGTACGTACATCAGTTCGAGTTGCCACACCACATTAGCACAGAGATGCAGTGGTCGATTCAAATCCCGTAGTGGTAGAGGTAATAAGAGTATAAGCAGTAATCGGGAAGATTAGGGTTTGGAGATGTTATTCAAGGAGTATAATACAGTGAAATAAATTTGGAAAGAGGAAAAAAGGGACATGAAGAATTCAGAAGATTAGAATTCGGGAGAACACAAAGAGTGGATGCACCTGCGCCATTGCAAACGATTTTCAGCCATGTCACTCAGGGTCTCTAACCATCGGTTGCTGTCATCTCGCAGTCCCCAACCAGGTAGTCTACACCTACCAACATGACTCAGTTCACTTGTCAGTGACTTCATGGACTTGTGCCATGTTTTGGTTTGGCCGCCCCTAGCTTTCTTCCAACCTACTCCTATACCACTGAACATAGCGTATAAGGCCTCTGCCAGGGAAGTCCTACTCACTACCTTCTCGTGGCGGGGGGCGTTGTTTACGAAAATGAGAGGACGAAAAACGAATGTCCGGCGCTTTAACCGGATTCCAAAACAATGGTGCACATGGGCTCCAGTATCCTGAGGGAACAAATGGCGTATGAACCAATCGTTGGTCACCGGCTACCATAGGACTGTTTTGAGACCCGATGATCTGACTCCAAGATCGTATAAATGTTTGTTATCGCCTTTTCTCGTATATCATCGTCGACTTAAATCGCGTTATCCAATAACGGAATTAAATAAGTCGAATAACGAGAACTGACTTGAGAATACATATATTTCGTACATGAAGTGAATGAAACATAGCAAGGCAAGGTGACACGCAGGGAAGATGGCTGGGAAGCCAACTCCATTTTAGTCAAGCTTACTCAATATTTATAGTCAGACAAAATAAAGCTACAGACATGTGATTAATAGGATAAGAAGGGCACACACATATACGCTCATATAAAAACAGTCTAGATTGATAAGCGAATAAATAACAAGGTCAAAGTATGGCTCGAGTAGAATGAATAAAATGGGATGTCCGGAAGCTAGAATAAGGTATATGGGCTTGTCATAATGACTGACACTACAACTGCATCTCCTTACGATGCTCCACTGCTTGTGGGTCAGACCTTTAGGTCAAAGGCTCGGGGTGTGGCCCCCTAAGAAAACCAACTAATTCGGTTTGGGCACCCGAGCAGTATCCCAGCCGTCACACTAATCGGATGATTTATGTGGCGCATATCTATTTGGTGCCTCCTTGTACCAATATCTATGTTTTTAAATAAATAAACAATTCTCTAGTTTTTTTAATATCGATTCTTCAGTCAGTTAGTTATAAGCAGCTTAGTAGCTAGGACTTTCATACATTGCGTCACAATGTCACATCATATTAATTCAGCAATGCGAAGATATGAAGACAAATGTTGTCATTACATTGAAAAGGGTATAATTTCACGTTTATGCATTTGATAATAAATGACATGACTCGATACTTTAGATGAAAGACTATGAACACTAGACTACGATGTTAAATAATTAAACCACTAGATCAGGTCGCATAATAATATAGTTCTGACCAACGATCAAGAACCAGAATTTGAGTCAAAATAACAGTTTATTAACAAAAATACAGGCAACCAATACAGGTTAAAGTTTAAGCAGAATGAATTTACAACACAATATAATTTTAATATATTAATTATCCCCGGATATTTCTATTTTCAGTCAGTCAGTCAGCTACAACGTAGGACTAGGCACATATATGCATCGGTCTAAGTTGCCATACCTCATTAGCACAGCATGATGAACACCGGATTCATAGGAGTAGTTAAGTCAATGGTGGTAATATATAAAAGAAAGATTGCATATAAGGATATAGTACACTCAATAACTAATCACAGCTCATAGCTCAAATAATGACTGTTTTGGTGATAGTATAAAAGCTTAAACGTTTACGATATAGTTTCCGAAGAAAGAAATATTATGATTATTTCAAATCTCAAGATCAAATTGAAGACAAAAAGTGAATGCATCTTCGTCAGTGCAACTGATTCTAAACCATGTCACCTAGTATCTCCAACCACTAAACGCAGTTATCATGCGAGCATAACCAGGTAGTTTGCATCTACCATTATGACGGTCAATAATTACGTAAATTAATGCCATGTCGTCGTTTGACCACATCTAGCTTTCTTTCACCCAACATCGCGCGTTTAAATTAGGCGGTGGTTGAACATACGTAGGATATATTCCAGGCGCACTAGTTAATAGATTTACTACCTTATCAACTAATTTGTCTTCATTTACTTAGTACCTTGTATCTAACCTCACTATTGCTCACTCATTGTAGCAAAAAATAAATTGGTTACTTCAAATACATCTATAGTCACCCCCCCCCCAGTATCTTACGAATGTCTTCTATTTTATAAGCCACATTTCATAGTCATAAAAGTAACTTCGGGGAACATTCATAATTAAGATAGTAGATTCAAAATCTCAATTACTAACTTTAACTGGATCTTTTTCTTTTCAAACTCAATGTATGATGTAAAATAGGTAACCTCGATTAGACTAAAACAAAACTCAGTATAGGGTTATGGAGATTATTAAGTTTTTTGATTGAAATCATAAACCGACCACCATTGAAAACCTGGAAGCACTGGATGGCCATTTCATGATCTCAATAAAAAACTCAATAATCTCCACAACCCTATACTGATCATTACCATGTGCTCACTAGTGACTAGCTTCGTGAGGGAATTATCGGAGTTCTACTGAGAAGCCGTGACCAGTGGAGCTAATCCGTGTCTATCAGAGACAGGTATTCAGCTCAGTACAATAGGAGATGGTCGCGCAACTTTGAGGATTGGTTGAGGTTAGACACTAACACCGTTGGGTGCCGGACAAATCAGTGGTCTAGAGGTTAAGCGTTCGTGCGCGAGACTGAAGGCCCTGAGTTCGAATCCCGCCCCCGGGATCGTGGATGCGCACCTCTGAGTAGTCCCACAATAGGACAAAATGGCCGTCCGGTGCTTCTAGGTTTTCGATGGTGATCTAACATCAATCGGTTCATGATCTCAATCATAAAACAAGAGTGTTCAGAAGTTTTCAAATTTCATTAGTTGATACCAAATATATATTTCATAATTCACTTGAAAACTTATCTTCATATTCTGTTTTCTCCTAAAAGAAAAAGATTCAAACGAGTTAAAATATGAAAATTATAATCATAACATTCGACAAAAATTCGATGATTTACTTGAGAATATTGATTTCACAACAGATCCGGGTCAGTTCAAGCAAGACGATCTGTATAGAAATAATGATGTTTCACCAAAGAAACTTAACAGAAACGAATTTGGAAGGAACGAAGTATGTCGTATTAACTATTTATCCGGTTTATTTATCTAATTGCAATTTTTCGTTGTTATGGGCTGACATCAGTTAGAGAAACATTGAAAGCCTGGAAACACTCACTGACCAGTGGATCGATGACCCTACAGAAGATTGAACCCAGAACTTTCAAACTACTGTAGTGAAATTTGATGGTGGTTCACTCTTCTAATTTCAGTTGGTTTGCGATTACCATCCGTTGTAACATGTATTACATGTTTCACTCATGAACTCGATTGCACTCAAGTGATTACTTCATCTCACTACAACTCAGAAAATTTCCTCTCAACTTAGACACTAGGGAGTAGATAGTTTTGGTTAATATGGAGGATTTATGGACATTTTTGGGTCTCATGCCCTACATTACTTTTGGGTCGTTGTGAGAGGTGATTCCCACAGTTCTACTAAGCATCCATAACCAATGAAGTTCAATCTACCAGTTACCTTCCGGTGGCATTGAAAGATGTCTATGGAATATCGCGAATTAACTGAAGTTAGACTTGCAAACCATTGGATGCCAACTCAGTGTTCTGAGGCTTATTAATCCATCTCCATATGACTTGAAGCTTCTGACTTCTATCCTCGATTGAATCTTGTACTTTATAACTCCTAGAAGTTCTTAAGATCAAATTAGTTCTCGATTCAAACTACTGGATCAAGCGATCTCAATAAATCTCTGTACTACTATTGCTGCTATTACACACAGGGTTCGCTTACATATCTATTTTACAATTAGTTCTGTGATTTGAATGAAATGTATCAATCACTGTCTAGAATGAGCCTATGTATCTCGAACAATTACAGCCTGTGTATTATAGAATCGTCAATCGGTAGAACTGTCATTATGTAATGTTTCATTCTTCTCAAGATGTCCATAATTTCACCTTTTCATGATTATTTTCATTGATTTTTGTATATCAAAATAGAATATTACTCATTTTGTCTATGGGATATTATCGAATCAACAGCATGATCCTTGTATTTTTCTCTTGACGAAGTAATAAAGTATTCTGGTTGATGGATATGGCCTTTGGAGCCATGATAAGGTCGCAAAAACTCTTTCAACCTAAACCACATAGATTCAGTATTGTTTGTACGCACTCCGGTTATTGAGTTCATAAGATATCACTTGTGGATAACGACACGATGCATATAACCAAGTCTTTATAGGCATCTGTACGCTCTCCAATCAACCTTATATATTGTAGTACCTGGTTGCAGCCAGGGTTATTGGTGCTTTTATTATCTAGATCGCAATAATTGTCTTGATTTGACTTAGGAATTGTATTTAGGGTATTCATCACGAACTGACATCAGCTATAATGCCAAAACTCTATTTAGCCTAATGGATGAAAGACTTTCGAGCCAAAATCCGATATGTGTTTTCTTATACTGATTTGTTCGTCCACAAATTTTAGTCTCGCAGTTTTATTTGTTACAGCCGTTCAATTATCACGTTTTGTATAAAATCCCTGTGAACCGATCGTACGTTAGCATTAACTACTGAAGTTGACACCGTGACCTTAAAATCCCCCAAACGCTTCTAATTGACTCGTCCGTATATTATAGTCTTACCTATATCATTTGTTTAATGAATAACAGATTTTGAATTCAATTTATCTGGCTAATGGGTTTCACATTTGACAGGAAATTTTGTAACTCTTTGAATGTAATAATAACACTTTAGTTAGTATATAGGCCCATGAGTTGTACACTACTGTGTGCTTATGTATACCATTTTTCTAAACCATTTAGCAAAGATCTCTTTGTGAAACATCCGTTCTTAAATTGACCCATATTAGAATACCCTGGAATTCTCAGTTTGATCATTTTGCAAATAAATTCTCTGTATTATAAATTAAGTTCAGTATGAATAAATTACTTTTTATTTCTAGGTATCCAAAGGTTCATTTTTTGAACAACCAATTACTATTGATAAAAGTTCACTGAACAAACCATCTTCGTCATCTCTAGATACTCGTGGACAAAATCCCGACGTTATATATGCTAATCTTTCTAGTTAGTTTACTTGATTTATTACTTTTTTTTAATTTTCAGAATGGGGGTTTGTGGAGATTGTAATAATTTAATAGTTAAATTCATGAGTCAATTTAAGTTAAACCACCATTGAAAACCTGGAAGTACTGGACGATCGATTAGTCCTAATATGGGATTCCTCAGCAGTGCACATTCACGATCCCTCAGAGGAGGGACTCGAACCCAAAACCTTCGGCTTCGCGCGTGAACGCTTATCCTTTAAACCAATGGACTTCAATCGTGTCTGTTGTGAGATAGTAACTCACTGAAGATAATGGTGGACGGTGGCGCAATATCGTGGATTAATTTAAGTTAGACATTAACACCGTTATATGCCGGTCGGCTTGGTGGTCTATAAGTTAAGCGTTAGTGCGCGAATCTCTTGAGTGGGATCGTGGATACGCACTGTTAAAGTGTCCCAAACTAGGAAGAAACGGCAGTCCAGTGCTTCCTGGTTTCCCATGATGGTCTAGGTTAAATCGACTCATGAATTCAACTGCTTTTATTTATTTGTATATTCAGTGTATGATTGTTGTTTAAATTTCATGTAATACTACCAATACTACTACTTCACAGTAGTGCATATTGAACTATGTTTTGTCAACTTTGATCAATTAACTTTCATGAGAGTCTATATTATAACAAAAAATAATTTGAAATATATGATTTCCCTATTCAATCAAAATGAATAGTATAACTCTAATTTCATGGTCTGCGTTTCTGTGCAGTCAGTATTCACACTCTTTAAACTAGACCAAGGCACATATGCTGAGTTAGAAAATAGTAGCCAAATAATAATGCTTCCAACCTATGCATATTTATAAGTGACTACACAAATTTATAGATTGACATCCTGGACGTTTTGATCTTAGTTAGATGAATTATTCACTTACTTGGACTAGTTCAGCTTACATTTTATTTATCATGTGCTTTTGCGATATCATGTAATCTGTCTGGCCTTGCTTATTACTACATATAAATATCTAATATACATTTAAGGGAATAGTTTCGTTCTAATTAGAATATTCAAACTCCGAAATTGTCAAAATCTTCTCCATGAAGCTTTCAGAACTTTAGGATCATTAGTGCAATTGGTTATTATGGCTAAACTACGTTTAAGATAAGGCTTCTGATTTCTTCTGTGATTTGTCAGTTATTTAGTTGAACATATAAATATTTGTACAAAGGGGTACCAGATACATATGTGCCACACAAGTCACTTCGTTGTTGACTATGATCAACACTACAAGAAGGTTGCGTACCAAATATCAGAAGGCGATTGGAGGTTGTAGCGAGATATATTTGTTGGCGATCTCGTGGTATCGAAGAATACCAAGATCGTGCCAAAGGAATACAAGCAGAATCACTGAGCAAACGTAAGTGCATGCGAGGTCACAATCAACAGAAGCTAGAATGTCTTTAGTACAGTTAAACAAGCAAGTACAGTAAAACAATCACTGGTACAATTGGTTATAATAATAATTGTTTCCATTAAAATAGTCGCGTTCTCTTGATAAAACTATGTCACTACATGTGTGTGGGCTATGATACTGCCCGGGTGCCCAAACTGAATCAGACAGTTTTCTCAGGGGGCTACACCCGGGGCCTTTGACCTAAAGGTCTGACCCACAAGGCAGTAGAGCAACGTACGGAGATGCAGTCCCATGGTAGCCGGTGACGAACGATTGGTTTTTATGCCATTTGTTCACTTAGGATCCTGGAGCCCATGTACACCATTGGTTTGGAATGAAGGATTTCTAACTAACCTAGGTGCACTCTCCATGTCCACCAAACCTGTCAGAGCGCCGGACATTCGCATTTCATCCTCTCAATTTCGTAAACAACAGTAATGCCACGAGAAGGTAGTGAGTAGGACTTCCCTGACAGAGGCTATATACGCGAGAGCCGATTACTCTCCATCTTCGGCCATACCAGGGCATTTAGGGGCAAGTTATCAGTACACTTAATTGACCAGATAATACTGAACGCATTTTTTCTTAGACAATTTAAAATAATCAGTTAAATATGGGAATTTCATACGATGGCTTATTATGGATTTCAAGTAAATTTACAAACAATAACCAGAAAATTTGACCAGTATAATATTTTAAGCGTTTATAAAATCGATCAATCAAATAGGGTAACAATAATGTATACCCGTATAAGGATTACGAGAAACGCTCTAATATACATATTATATTAGTTGTTTAGATTTTCCCATTGGTGTTAAGAACTTTAATTGATCATTGTCTTTTGATATATATACATCCTGTGTGTATGACCAGTAAGTCAATTATATTATTGACTTTATCTATTTACTGATCAAGTCTAGAAATTGACTAGAAAGTTAACAATCGAATAACCTAACTAAACGTTGTTTGTACACTGATATAGGCATTCTTGAATAGATCGAACCTACTGATCAACAATAAGATGATTTAATAATTTTCATTAATGGCAACTACTAGTTTATTTAACTGAAGATCAATAATTTCTGTTTATTGACCTGAGGTTACTAGACAGAGATAATAAATAGGTTGATAAGATTGTGAATCTTTATCGCCTGAGCTACTTAAGACATGCTTTTTTATATTCTCAGTCATTGCTCAGTTAAATGGGGGACTTTCTCTGTTGAAGGAATAGGTTAAAAGAAAGTTAGGTGCTGTCAATTGAATAGATGACACCGGTTTATGAAGTCATTAACTGTTAAAATTTTTGAGGAGACTCAGAAAATTCCTCGAAAAAAGCCTAAAGAGGCCCTGAAAACGATGCGAAACATCTTACCTAATCAGCATTCAATAAAAGTATCTAGAAAGGGAAGAGTCACATATCACTTTTCCGATTGGGTAATTACTTATCTTGCTACTAGGTTTAGAAGGGTTCCAGAACTTTCCAGAAGCCTAAGGCCACCTGAGATGCTATAAATACCCTCGATATTCTGTTCATAAACTAGCATTGGGGTAAAGCGTTTTATCCATATTTACCGTCTTTTCTCTTGTATTCAAGTTGCCGTGCATATTTGTCCTGGGGTTACTAAAAGAGCTTAGGAAACCGAATCAAGCGTTCTATTGGAAGATTTATCAAAAATAAGCCCTGTTCTTAACTTCAGACTACTTGGATGTGATTCATCGTATTATCGTGATCAAATGTTAGAGACATAATATGACATAATTCAAAATCGATCACTATTGTTTAAATGTATTCACTCTTTGTCCTAAAAGACTTCTCCTTTTTATTCCACCAGTTAATTATCGGTCATTCACGAATCTTACTTACTTCTGCAACCAGGCATACTCTGCCATTTGTCTTAATAACTTTATCTCACTATACTGATAAAGTAAGCTAACCTGAAATAATGTAAATCTTTTTCATGTTCTACACTGTTAATGACCCACAGTCTACTGACTTGGACTGTGAGTTGGTTGGTGTCTGACGAAATCTTTGTACGGATTCAGAAAGTTCATTTGGCTTTTACCAACTTAGGTCACCTATGACGAAGGCGAGATATCTGCCTATCAATTAAGGGACGAGTATACTGTGTAGCACTTCGTTCTGTTCTACTTTATATCTGCGAAACGTGGACATTAAGAGTAGAAGATACTCGTAAGCTACTAGTATTTGACCACAGATGTATTAGAAATATTACTGGCATCTGATGGGATCATCGGGTAAGTAATAGTGAGGTTAGACGCAGGGGATTAGCGAATGATGGCAAATCAGTTGATGAGGTTATGAATCTTCATCGACTGAGATGATTGGGCAACTTGTTGCGTATACCTGAACACCAATTACCACGATGCACAATGCTGATTGGTGTTGGCGATGGTTAGGGGCGGCTAAACCAAAACGTGGAATCGGTGCTTGAAGTCACTAACTTCCAGTGTGAGCCACGTAGACGCAGATTACTTGATTGGGGTCCTCATGACTACCGTAACCAAAGGTTGGAGACTCTGGGTGACATGCCTCAGAATCGATCACAATGGCGTCGGTGTATACACTCTTTGTCTTCCTTTAAACTGTGATATTAAAATTGCTTTATATGTTTCTTTCTATCAACTATTTCCTGTACTGTATATCCTTATATTCGATCTTTCTTTTATATATTACTACCATAGAAGTGACTAGTTCTATGAATCTTGTGTTCATTTTGTTGTGTTAATGTGGTGTGGCAACTTGAACCGATGCATATATGTGCCTGGTTCTACGTCGTAGCTAACTGACTGACTGAGTCCACTGACTTTCATTTAAATCTTCGTTAATGTCTTTTTCTTATCCTTTTTTCAAACTTATTTTAAGGACCCTCCATGCAAGAAACTGAATTATTCAGTGGAACACATCCATCTGATAATAATAATAATCACCATAATTACCATTATAATTCTAAAAGAGAGACAATAATATCAAATTGTTCTTCTATTATGGAACAAAATAAAATACAACCAATTAAAAAGTCATTATTACCACAAACTAATACAATGACAAATAAATATAAATCAAATTTATATGATTCTTCAAGACGAGTAAGCGATATTGATTTATTGAATGATTCTTTTACTTCATCAATGATAATCTTCATCATATAATCTTGTGTAGTGTTTAACATTGTACAACATAGATTACATTTACTTAAGGTAGCTATCAGAACTCAATAGTTGAGTGGATAATACAATGGTGTTTAAAGTAAACGGTACTGGATTCAAGTTCCGTAGTGAATATCAAGTCTGAGATGCAGATACATTCAACTGATGATTGCGAAATGGGATAAATTGTGCATCCTGAATTCCACCGCTAGCCATCTTTCCTTATAAAGTTTGTGACTTAAAGCAATATCTAGGTAGACCGCATAGGATGCACATAAGCCAAAAATTTTATTTATTTATTTATTCATTTAAACACATCAACATTGGTACAAGAAGATATCAAATAGATATGTGCCACATAAATCATTCAATTTATGTGAGGACTGGGGTATTGCCTGGGTGCCCAAACCGAGTTAGGTGGTTTTCTCAGAGGGCCACACTCGGAGCCTTTGACCTAAAGGTCTGATCCACAAGCAGTGGAGCAACGTAAGGAGATACAGTTTCATGGTAGCCGGTGACCAACGATTGGTCCATACGCCATTTGTTCTGTTGGGATCCTGAATCCCATATGCATCATTAGTTTGTAATCATGGTTTTCCAACTCACCCAGGTGTACTCCCCGTGTCCACCAACCCTGTTAAAGCGCCGTGCATTTGAATTTAATCCCCTCACTTTCGTAAACAACAGTAATGCCACGAGAAGGTAGTGAGTAGGACTTCTCTGACAGTGGCCATGTGAGAGCATTTGGAGAAGGAGAGTTGACTCTCCCTACTCTCAGCCGTACCAGGGCATTTGGGAGCATATGCCAACAAGAGACTGATCAATTACAGCTCTAAACAACAATTTGAAGACACAAGTAAACAATACTAGGTGAATTACTTAGAAAACTATTGAACATCAAGAAATATATTGAAAAACTGTTTTATTTTTGTATAGAACTTTGTTACAAGCGAACATTCGTTCTCTCAAAATAGTCTAAGGTTTATATAAACTTAGTTTTATAAATTGCCATATATTCAAAATATTTTCCAATTTTTTGCTTCAATTCTTGAAAATTATTTGATGATCTTGTTGTTGTTTCACAATTCTTTTTCAACCTGAATGTTCTACTAGAACTGTAGTTAACATACGGTACATTACATGGTCATCCATATCAGTAGTAAACTGGGAATCGAAAGTGACGATGAGTGAATACATATGTTTAGTGCTTTTTATAACCACAAAAGGTTGACAATCATCTTGTCAGAAGACTATACTCAAAGCCGTTAATGTTCTAACTGATTTTCTTCATCTAATTGAAATAAGATGTTTTCATGAATTCTTTATGCGAATCAACAAGCTGAATAGTTGATTCCTTGTATTCATTAGAAAATTTGTATTTTAATGCTTTTAGATAGATAACACTATAAATCATACATTGATTGATCCCTCATTAATGATCAACATCATATTTGTCTACTTGTCAGTATTGATCACATTCTATTGATCAGTACTGAGGGCTGACTTTTCAGTGATCATTAGATCTAGATATCTCATTCCTACAGAAGATCAGCCGTCGCCTGAATATCTCTGTGGTAATAGCTCAAAGTTACATGGATGCCTTAGTAACAGGTCTCAACTATCATTAAATATGGATCAGTACAGGACTTGCTGCCAGATACTTTCAATCATCTAACAGAGTGTGAATTTGTATGTAAAAACATTTTGGTACCATAGGAGTTTTATTATTTAATTCTTTTTGTAAATAATACATATTTTTTACATGATAGTTATGAATTTATTCTTTTCTCTCTTTATTTTGTCTCACCATTCTCATTTGAAAAACAAAATAACTCTTCCACAGTCATCTTTAAATCAAGACAATATCAACTCAGCTGGATCTCTTGAAAGTATGGTAAGAACATTTAATGATCATTTGTTTTGTTTAGAAAATGATTTTTGGCGCAAAATTAATCGTTAACAGACATAAACATGATGAGACTATAATTTATGGATGAACTAATCAGATTTACGATAGAAGGTCTTAGATTTTGGCATGAAATTCACTCACTCATTCGTCCAAATACTGTCTTGGCATTTTAGCTGATGTCAATTCGTGATGAAAACCCAAAATCTAATTTTTAATCATAACCATCAACTGTAAATCATAATCCTGATTCTTTAAACTTCTTTATAACCTTCATTTAGCCCTAGTAAGTAGGTAGACACTCTCAAGGTCACTTTAGCGTCGCTCAAAGATCGTCCATAGATTATAATCTCACCATGAACATAATGATTCGATTTGTTGTTGTATGGAATTTTGTTTTTCTCACTATGCACAATTAAGTATTTATTAACACTTGGTTCGAATCCCAATATCTACATCAACACTGAAATGTAGATTTTTCTAGCTGAACAGTACTAAATGAGATCAAATACTCATCTCAGTTTACAATTTTGGCTACAATTCATCTATTGTCTAAGTGTTTTGAATTGGTTATATTAATCTAAATGACTACCTCATGTAATTCTTGGATGAACTAATCACTAAACAATACAATACAATAATGTCTGACGTTTAACTGTACACCCATTGATGAATATGAGTTTGTACAATTTACTCCATTCAGTACTTAAATCTACCTTAAATTCAAACAAGTTAATGAGTTTTTGGTTGTCGTTGTTGAAAAACTAAGCGTATGTTGAACGGGTGATTCGTTTTGTTTTCTTTTAACAACTCGTAAAAAGTTTCAAATAAAACAAGCTTTTAGGAAATTTGGCAAAGTTGTAAACCAGACATTTCTTAATTTGATAAGTTAAAAAACTAACAGTATAAGGTTGTGGAGACTGTTAAGTTTTTTTGATTGGGATCGATGCTAAACCACCATTGAAAACCTGGAAGCATTGGATGGCCGTTTCGTCCTAGTATGAAACTCCTCAGCAGTGAGCATCCACGATTCCGCACGCAGGATTCGTTGGATGCCGGCTTTAGAGATTAAACGTTCGCGCGCGAGACCGAAGGTTCTAGGTTCGAGTCCCTTTGATATGGGATCGTGGATGCGCACTGCTGAGGTGTCTTATACTGGGACGAAACTGCCGTCCAGTACTTCCAGGCTTTCAGTGGTGGTCTAACATCGATCAATTCATGATCTCAATAAAAAAAACTTAGAAAACTATGTTAAATATGATTGTGTGAATCTTCCAATTGATGTTTAGGACTATAATCAATCAATCCAATTATACTTTTATATACCATGTTTCATAGCCATAGAAAAATACAAAGCGAATTACAGTGAAGTATAGTAGCACGCGGAAAGCCTGTCTACTCTACAAGTGACATAATTCCAAAAATGTCAAGCCGGTTGTCTTAATATGTGCCGAGACTTCGCCAGACAATAACCCATCAGAGTTGATGAAATTTCCATGATAAATAAAGCTGTCAACTCTCTCAGATTCTTGACTACTTAAGATCAATTTAGGGGATGACTTAAACCATTCCTCAGCCAATATTTAGCATTATTGGGGCGAGCGGTAACTCGTTATGGTTCACACATTCTTCAAATGCCCCAACTAAAGTATATCAGTCAGTATGAATAGATTTCTTGGTTTGTATCCGCTTGGGAATTTCGATTTATTGTTGAAAACTGGTGACTGTTATATTCATTCAAAATATTGGGTATAATATTATCTTATAGTTTTCGTTCCATGTTATGTTTCGCTTGACAGGTTGGTGTAAAGTACGTCAACTTAGTTTGAAACATTTACATTAGGTCTACCGTTATTTACTCCACAAATTACCGACACTATGTAAAATCCAATGTTGCTCTAATCATAGACACTATTTCAAACATTGTCGACTAATATTTACAGACACATCATAGATCTTGATTCATAATAACAAACAATTATTCTAGCAATTTATTAGCTAAATTCATGAGTCAGTTGAAGCTAGACCACCATGAAAAACCTGGAAGCACTGGATGGCCGTTTCGTCTTATTACGGGACTTATCAGCAGAGCGCACCCAAGACCCGCCTCGCGAGATTCGAACCCAGGAGCTATCACTCGCGCGCGAACGCTTAACCACTAGACTACTGAGCCGGTATCCAACGATGTTAATGTCTATCCACGAAAACGAGCCACCATCCACCATTGTCATCAGTGAGTTACTATCTCACAAGAGACCCGGTTGAACTCCACTTGTGACGGTTTCTCACTAGAACTCCAGGAAATACCTCTTGGAGACCATTATTAGTGAGCATAGGATGAATATAACCAGAGAAAGGTTTTTGTGGATATTATAGTAATTTAAATTTTAAATTCATAAGTCAATTGAAGCTAGATCACCATGGAAACCTGGAAGCGCTGGACGGCCGTTTCGTCCTAATATGGGACTCCTCAGTAGTGTGCATCTACGATCCCGCCTCGCTTCCAGGTTTGTCATGGTTGTCTAGCTTCAATTGACTCATGAATTCAACCATTAAATTACTAATAATATCCAAAAAAACCCTTCTCGGATTATAATTATTCTAACTTTTATGATTTGTGTTAGTTATCAAAATTATCACTCTTATTAACACTTTAATCATAGTTCACTAATCAAGATCAAAATACACCTGATGAATATTTCATTGCTACACCAAGATTATCTTCACGTAAAGATATTGGCAAAAATAGTGATATTGAAAATGGTGATGAAATTATTATACCAAGAAAGAAAGAAGATAAAATCAATTCATTAAAAAATGTTCTATTACGACAAAGGTAGGTGAATAGTTTCACTCAGTATCAATGACATTGTTCTCTAATGGAACATCTTCGACAAATATAACTATTGTATTCAAAAGTTTATCGATTAATATAAATGGAAATTTTAATGTGTAACAATTGGAATTCTGATCAGTTAATCATTCAGTTATGAACAGTGTAAAATCTGATATGTATGGGTATCAGTTTAAGTTGCCACGGTACATCAACACCCTTTAGATGAAATTATTATCAGGGCAAATTCCATGATGATTAAAATAGTAACAATAATAGTGGTAGAATAAAAGATAAGACATAGGCCACATGATTCGAGAAAAATGAATGACATTGGAAATAAAAAGTACATGATAGTCTTAAGATCCATAATCTAAGGAAAGATAAAGGATGTGTGCATCTATATTATTTCACTCCATTTTGAACTGCATCTAACATCTTCAGCCATTGGTTACTATTATTCTGCGTCCATTAACCAGGTTGTTTGTATCTACTATCATGGATTATAGTTGTAACATGCTGTGTATACATAATTGGGATAAAAGTTTGTAGAAATCGTTTATTTTGATAAACTGATATGTTTATCCTGTAATAACACCAACCAAAGAACTACTAAAAGTCAGTGCGCATTCTATAGCTACCTGTTCAGCTATGCACATCTACCATTGTATGCTCATCATCTTAATTTGATGTCAACCCGTAAGGAGATGTAAATTTAATTTCAGCTATTTCCACCAACTATCATCTTTATAGTAATCGTATGCATAATACTAAGTTCGATGACCTACCTCAAAATTACTGCTGAGAAACTGTGACTTTTAGAGTTCAGCCATTTAGAGAGATGAGATAGATATCACCGAACTTATGCGATGATGGTTTTATTATATATCACGAATTGATTAAAATAAGAAATCTTGGCAATTGGATTCTGATCCACTGGTCCAAGGGTAGTGACGCTGATTGGTCACTGAGTAGTTACTAGTGTTATATTTGTCTAGTTATTAGTATTGATCGATTTTTGTCGGCCACGTTTCAGTGTAGCCACGGATCTGGGTGACTCAATATCTTGTCTAGTATGTTTTGATATTAGGTGGAAAGGGATAATCATCAGGAAACTAGGGTCTTGATTTTGTGTTAGGGCTCACTAGTAACTCGTACCCATCATCCTGACCGAAACTATTCATTGTGCTGAATTCATATCCATATCATCCGGTCTTACAGAGGGAAAAAATCGACCAAATATGACCCTAATTGGTCCGAAATAAATGCAAATGTCTCATTCCCACAGGAACAACTTAGTTCTGTCGTCCAAAATCTCGAGGCTAGGTGGCCCCAACTCGAATTCATCAGAGAACATCACTTCCGACCGACTACACAATCTACATGCTCTGACGTTGTGTGCTCATTCTTGGTGGTCCCTATTCTAGATAGATACAGCTGCTTATTGCTTCCCGATTTTCAATCCTTATCTAACCAAAGTCATTTCATGACGTAAAATCAAAAAAATCCATTGATATCCGATGACGTAAATTATAATTTCATTTCAGTACATTTATTTTGCATATATCTCTTCTCTTCACCTCTCTTCTCAGTTTAACAGATTCATCAGTTTACAATCAAACTAATGATCGTTTATATAACGGAAATCAATTACAAGAAACAAATACTGTTATAGCTGAACGAGTTCGATTAATGACAATTAAACAACAATTAGCTAAAGAAGCAGCTAGCACAAGTGCACGTAAGTATACAATGATGTTATTGTTACTTTCTTTCATCAATGTTCTTTTATTAGGATGAAACAGCCATCCAGTAATACCTCCAGGTTTTCAATATTGATCATTTGGTCATAACTTCAGTTAAACTCATCAATCTCCACAACTCTATACTGAATGTCCTCATGTTTAAAATATAGTTTTCTTTTCTCACATTAAAGAACTGATTTTTTTTCATTTTTTAGATCATTAAATCTTGTCCAACTTAACAACTAAACCAATCTCCACAAAACCCCTTTATATAAATCATATTTAGTTAGATGTTACATAATTATACTACTTTTTACTGATTGAAACGAATAGTAATGAGTTCGAGTACTAATGCAAACAAGAAAATACGTGAATGTTGAATGAGACATTCGTCTTAGATTCATCATTCAATGTTTCAGGAGAAAATGACTAAATTTGAATCGGATACAAACAAATTCCCTTAGTTCTAAACATAAAGATTTTGGACTTCACTACAATTTACTGATGGATAGTGATTAGATCTCATCGAATGATCAAAATTCAATAAATCTGTTTTCTTTTACATTTGTTCCTCATTTTTATGGTGAGACCATAATTTATGGAAGAATCAATCACGTATAAGATAACAGGTCTGAGATTTTGGCGGGAAATTCATTCACCCATTTGACTAAATAGAGTCTTGGTATTATAGCTGATGTCAGTTCATGATAAGAAACCCTAAATCTAATTTCTTACCCTAACCGTCAACTGTAAATCATAATTCTAATTCCTCACATAGGTTTATAACCCTTATTTGGTCCTGGTTATTAGGTGAACACTCTCAAGGTCAGTCTGGCGTCTCTCTAAGGTCGCAACTAAGTTGTATATCTTATATATCACAGCTATTTGGTAATCACTCATTGGAAATTCATCCTGATGAATTAAATTTAGTTTTGGTTCAATCTCTTAAACCATGTACAAGTCGAACGATTTATAAGACATTAATTTATAATGGAAAAAATTCAGTTTTATTGTTTTTAAATAGTTTTGGTGTTACAGATACTTGACACTGTTCATTTGTCAGAATGAAGGTTTGTGGGAATTGTAATAATTTAATGGTTGAATTCATGAGTCGATTAAAGCTAGAAAACCATAGAAATGCTGAAAGCACTAGGTGGCCGTCTAGTCCTAGTATGACACTCTTCAGCACTGTGAATCGACGATCCCTCACTAAATGGGCTCGAACTCATGACCTCCAGTTTCGCACGCGAACGCTTAACCTCTAGACCACTGAGCCAACATCCAACGAATCACGTGCATGGGATTATGGATACATGCCGTTGAAGAGGCTTATACTAGGACGAAACAGCTGTCCAGTGCAACCAGGTTATCCAAGGTTCACTTGGTTTGCTACAATTCACATTGAAAATCACGAACAGGAGTTTTAAAAATAACCTACTAGAAGACAATTTTAAATTTTAATTACATAGTCTGTAGGTACTAGATAAATGTAAATGCTACTTTTATCAAGAACCAATATAGATTGTAAAGCTATTGGTAATGAAAGATTGAGTAAAGTCATTGAACACTTACTTCTTGTTAATTTGTGTTACATCCTCAGGAAATCATTTACTAACTAGCTAGTGTGTAAATTCGAATAATCAATTTTTCCCATGCTGATAATCGTTCATGTTTTCTGTAATACAAGATACTATATACTAATTTGTTCATGGGTCCTTTAGTATATGAAGTTGTCACGCTTTTCCGAAGATCATTGTCAAGGTATTTCTACTCATATGATATTAACTCGAACTAATTTTCTTCGTTCCCTATCAAAACTCCTTTCTTTCAAGAATGTTGTTTGGTATAGTTGGGACTAAAAATAGACTATTTTAATTATATCCAACTATGGGAGTGCAGTTAAGAGTTATTGCTTTTCTTAAAAACTTTTTCAGTTTGAGACATCTTAGTGTTGCGAGCCGACTTTCCCTTTTACTATCCAATGTCAACTTGTAAGGGAGAGTAGCTACGAAACTTTTAATAAACATCCACATACTATCGAACTATATAATAATCATGCATCCTCACTAATAAATGGTTTCGTGACAGATTCCTATGAATTCTATTAAGAAATGATGATTTATTGAAATTTTCTCTGACAACATTGGATGATCATTTCTCTATATCACCAATGGAAAATATGACTCATTATAAGTGTGATGAAACATCCATCCGGTTTTTACCTGTTATCACTTGGTCTTACTTACTTACTTACTTGCGGTTGTTACTCCTAATGGAGCATAGGCCACCGACTAGCCTTCTCCAACCCCAACACTAACCAACGTATCGAAACTTCACTTTCTTTGCTTTCCAATATTTCCCTTTCTCATGATCAATATAATTTAGTAAATCTTAACTATAAATCTTATATTAACCAATTCATACATTTAAAGTATTAACTTTCATGTTTATAATTGAAATGAGATTGTTTCTATAATGGAAATCTTCTTTCTTATATTTCAGGTCTTAATGCACGTGAACATCCATCTACTTATAATAATGTATCTAGATAAAAGAATGTTTTAAAATAAACATTCGAATTCAATAGAACTTCCAAAACCCAATAACATATCATAGTCTTCTTTTTCTTTTTTTTTTGTTCTTTTCTTTTTGAAAGCAAGTTGTTTTGTATCGAATTTCTTTGTATTGTTGATTTTTCTTTAGTTGCTATGCCGGAAAAAAAAACAATAATCAGGTTACATTATAGTACTATCAAAACAAACATCGTTTTTTTCTCTACCTCATATTAATTTGGTTTTAATCTCTGTATTAATCTCAATTATTTTATTCTACCTATTCATTATTAACAACGCATTTCAATTTGATAATTAACAAGTTGATGATACATAATATGAAAATATGTTTCGTCGATTATTTAATATTACTTGTTAGTAGTATAATTTAAATAAAGTAATATATTATCAGAGGCGGGGTTTTGTGGAGATTGTAGCAATGTCAATAGTTGAGATCATGATTCAGTTGAAGCCAGACCACCATAGAGAACCTGGAAACACTGGACGGCCGTATCGTCCTATTGTCAGACTTCTCAGCAATGCGCATCCACGATCACAACTCGCGAGATTCGAACCCAGGACGTGTCATTCCCGCGCGCGAGCGCTAAACCACTGAGTCGGCATGCAATGTTGTTAATGTCCTACTTCAACCAATCCATGAAATTGAGTGACACATCCAACATTGTTTTCAGTGAGTTACTATCTCACAACAGACCTGGTTGAACTCCACTGGTCATTGCTTCTCACTAGAACTCCAGGAAATGCTTCATGAAGCCAGTCACTAGTGAACATATGTTGATTAGTATCAGAAAAGGTTTTCAGTAGTATAGATCATGAGTCAGTTAGAGCTAGACCACTATGATGACTCCTATATTGGGATGAAACGGCCTTTCAGTGCTCCCAGTTTTCCTATGGTGGTCTAGCCTTGATTGATTCATGAACTTAGCTATTGAAGTAATATATGTTCATTGTATACTTTAAGAGTGATAGTTTTTTGCATCGAAACGATTAGGCCTTCTAATTTCGACATTCTTTTTTTTCTTACCAGGAATAACAGTCAAGTGAAATTGTTTTTGATGAAAAAATGATGATATTTTAATTATCATTGGATAATATTATAGATACTTAATTCTTATCTCAGCTGATGACCAATGATTACAGTAAATGGTACGTTGTGTTTCAGACATACTCTATCGCATATGATCCCATTTAACTCGGGTTTTTAAACATTTGCGCCCATATATTTCAGCACTGTTAGGCGTGTTACGTAGAGGGACTGTTCGCTTAATGTTTACCAGTAGTTTGAAGACATGTACAGCATATTTAAATTCACATTTTGAGAAGTATAGAAACGTTGGATTCCATAGCCATTTACATGTATACTGTCATACTTCTATCAATGGATGATAAAATAAGTTTTAAAGCTACCATGAACTTACAGAAAACAACTAGTCCATGATATTTAAGTCTGGTCTGAACGGTTGACTTCGACATATTTGTTTATTTTTAACTTGGCGAGCTCTTGTGGCTCGATAATATTGGCAATAAAGTTCGAACCCCAGAAAAGTCCTTGGTTTTTTGTGTTTGCTTATCGTTTGATGTACCAGATCACGTCAGGCTCACCACAAATGATGCTACAGATAATCTGTGTTTGACAACGTCTTTTGTTGTAACGCCTCTTGTAACCAAAGGATACTAACCCAGTCAAATCAGAAATTAATAAAATTGGATATATCTTTGGAAAAGTGGTCAATATGTTGAGGAGCTTCAAATCTAAGCTGCCTAGTAGTTGGATGTGAGGAGTAGCACGGCAAGAGGGAACACACGTCATTGATAAAAAGGGGGAAGAATAATGGACCAACCACACCTCCTTGTATAACCCCACTGGTTGCATTCACAGGTTGAGAGTAGCCAGATCCAAAGAGAAAGATTTGGCTGAGTTCTTCTGAAAAAGATTTGAGCCAAAATAAAAGAGGATCCTGTATGCTAAATGAAGAGAGTTTTAGAAGAAGAAGTTTGTGTGAGACACTGTCGAAAGCCTTACTAAAATCGAAGTAAAGAATTACCACTGACTGACCAACATCTCTTCTCTGGGTAATTTGATCGAAAAATTTCAGGTGCCATGTGGAACCCATCAATCTCAACAACTAACCCTCTTTATGGCAATTTAAACATAAACAGAGACTTGTTACAGTAGAAAACCTATGGATATTTTCTATGTTGGTTACAGCGTAGCATTTGATAGAGTTCCGCCCAATAGATACCCATTAAAGCGGGAAATTCTAGGGTTTACTGAAACCCGGAATTTCGGATCTAAGACATTTTGGTTGACCGTCATTACTTTTCATACGTTTTACGAATGAACTATCGCCAATCACTAAGTTTTCAACGCTATTTAATACTGTTAACATCGAAATTAAGAGAAACGTAATACAGAAAGCAGTAGCACTGTGGCTAATCTAAGCGTTCTTGTTGATTGATATAAATTAAGGTAAAAGTATTTAATGCAGCTTATTTTGTCTACATGCGACTAGGAAATGAAAACACTTATAACTACAGCAAAGAAGAACTGCCTGTCTCCTTCGTACTGCCTCGTAATCATTTGCAGTTTGTAGTGTGTCAATGATTGTACACTGCTTTAGTGAAGTCCAAAAGTCAAAACTACGTTCGGAATGCAAGCTTCTATTTAAAAGTAACTCGGATATCTGAGAAAAGGTGCTCATAACAGCCATCATTGAAATCCTAGTATCCCACAGCTTACCTTACACAGTGCAGCTAGAGAAGTTAGATCACTTTACTCTATCTCGCCACAGATTAGAAGATTATTTGATTTGTAATATTTGAACACGAATAAACGGAAATGGAAATGATATGTCCCCTATTTCTAATTTCACAAGGTCAGGACAAATCCGAAGGACTTAAAAACAACCACAACCTCGGTTTGTGTTTTTGTCAGTCTACTTGAAACCAGGCAGAATGAATCAGGAATTATCATTTCGGACATCCTTGTAAGCAATTGTAGCTGGCTTTCATCATTCTAGGTGTTCTTCCACTGGCTTTTTGGTGTCGTTGCACCATCTTTTTCTGTTAGTTTGATGAAACTCCGCAGTTTATGTGATACTCGGAGTGTTAGTGCAAATGTTTCTGAATCAGTTTCTTTCCCCCATCTTTTCCTCTTGCTGCTCAGGTTAGTGTATTCTTTCATGAGTGCTTACGTGGTTTGCATTATTAAATGTCAATTCACTTTGTTTTGAATGTTATCTTGTGAATATCAGAAATCACAACAAGTGTTTTTTGGCCGAAATAAATGTCGTTTCCACCTTGGATTTTCTAGCTGCCCGTATGTTCGTTTCTAACTGTTGTTTATGTTGTCGAGAGCAAAGAAGGAAAACGATCTCTGGTTTCTTATTCTCTTGAGTATTATGAACAACCCTCTGCTGTCAACTAACCAAACCAATTATGAGTTTTCAGTTGTTCTGCATTCTTAATATTATGAGATTCAGGCATCTGACAACCTGGGACCAGGTCAGAGATGTAACCAATGTGTTTCCGACTTGTCGTTGAAAATATACCATATAGCACTAATAGATTAACTGGACCCATTACGTACTGCGTGTAAGCAAGTTGAACAATTAAATGCCAGATACCCACTACCGATATGTAACGTGTCTGTTGTTTTGGTCATAAAAGTAAACCTGAGGGCCATGGTTGGAGAGTGAAGGGGAAAATAGTTGTTATTATACTTGATCGATGAAGTGATACGCCGTAGGCGCATAGTGTGGCGTCGAGCCACCACAACAAGAAGATTGCGTGCCAGAACAGGCTAAAACTCCAAGTAAACCAGGAATCAGAAGGCAATTGAAGGTTGCAGCAAGATATATTTTTTGGCAATCTCGTGGTATGGAAATAATGCCGAGATCATGCCAAAGGAGTACAAGTGGAACTGTTGTGACATCGGACCATAACCACACAATTCTCAAAGCTGAACACGAGACTACCCGGAAAATAGATACTTAATATTTAACGCGGAGAAAGGCGGCAACAATGAGTTGAATTAATTGGAATTGATCAGATGGCATGGTCCCTGCGGAATGTTACCTTATATCTTTTATTCATATTAATTATATAGTTCTTTCTTTAGCCTAATCTTGTACTCCATCATGTATTGGTGATTGTTAGGATACAGTGAGTTGGTGTAGACGATGGTATGACTTCCACGTAAGATCTTATGGCAATTATATCATGACAAATCTACAATTTCAGGACTAGGTCTATTATTAGAGAAGTACTAATATCATAGTAAACCACGATACTACAGAACTACTGAGTAAACGTAAGTTCGTGCAAGGCCACGAGCAACGGGAGAAGGTATAAGTTTTGGTACAGTTAAACAAGCAAATACGGTAAAACAATCACTGGTACAATTAATTATAATAATAACTGTTTCCATTACACCAATCACGTTCTATTGATAAAAGTAGGTCACTACAGGTGCATGACTGAAGAGATGAAATCATATCGACTAAGTGCTGAAATGGTGTAACAATGTACAGATTTCAGCTTTCTTATTCATACCATTTCTGGATAAACTCCTTGCGGTTGTAGTGCTTCGTACGACTCGTAAAACTCGATTTCGACAAAATTCGTCGTCGCAGCATAATTATCCCTCACATAATAAGTCCGCTCAATCTTCCAAAATTAACGTTAAGATCCTACTAAATGCACCTACTAAGCTATCTCTATTCTGTATTTCAGGTAATCGATGAAGACAAGTCACATCATGTACATCTGCTGTATATTGCCGTACTACTTTAGTTTTTTAACTGTTATATGTCTTTTCAAAATGAAGACGTTTTATCACATTCAGTAAATACATACTGATTTACTATGAAGGTAATCAGGAGGGTCGTGACGTGTTTAACGCGAATGTAGTCGTATGCTCACTAAGAAGCTAAGCGAGCGTGTAGACCTGTATACTGTACCGTATAAAGTGTGCTCAT